AGCCTTGGGCTGTAACTGCTCTGTTGGAGCAATTTGTCCTAAATTGGCACTCTCAGTTGGGTCCCTCCAGAACCGCATCGTTACACCTGGGTAAAAGATGTGCGACTGACCTGCACTTGCACCTGTCAGGCATTATGACAGTCAGAATTGGGAAAGCCGAAATGACATCAGTGAAATAATGTTCCTAACTACAGAACTAATGCAAGCAGGTATCTGTGAAACAATGGCATGGATTCTGGTATATATCGGAATATCTGGACATGAGAGGGCTGACAAAGCAGCAAAACAAGCTCTGGAAAAAATGAGGAGATAGATATTAAGATACCTTTAACTAGACAAGAATTCAAAAGTAGGGTAACAAAGGAGCTTGCAAAGGAATGGCAAGAACTATGGACTAAGGGGGGAAAAAAGGACTAAGGTTTTAGGATGTATGCTCAAGAACTGAAGAGAATACCATGCTCCAGAGTTATGTTAGAAAAAATGAAGTAGTCATTTTTAAAGGGCTAACAGGCCCTTGTGCCTTAAATAATAAGTTAACCGTATTAAAAAGAAATGAAGATGGGCTGTGTAATGTGTGCAAAGCCAAAGAAACTGTTGGTGATGTTCTATGGCAGTGGTCTCCAACCTTTTTACGCACCTTTTTGAATTTAAGTGCAACCCAGGATCTACCCTGCCCCTTTTCCAAAGCCCCGCCCTGCTTACTCCATCCCCCCCTCCGTCACTCGCTCTCCCCCACCCTCACTTACTTTCACCGGGCTGGGGCAGGGAGTTGGGGTTCGGGAGGGGGTGCAGGCTCTGGGCTGGGGCCGAGGAGTTTGGAGTGTGAGGGGGGCTCCGGGCTGAGCCTGGGGCAGGGGGTTGGGATACAGGAGGGGGTATGGGGTGCTGGTTCTGGGAGGGGGGTTAGGGTGCGTGGTCCCGCCGGGCTGCACTTATCTCACGCAACTGCCAGTCAGCGGCACAGCGGGGCTAAGGCAGGCTCCCGGCCTTCCCCGGCCCCACACTGTTCCTGGAAGCAACCAACACGCACGACCCTGCAGCCCCTGGGAGATGGGGGGCACGTGGCTCCGTGTGCTGCTCCTGCCTACAAGCACCACCCCCGCAGCTCCCATTGACCACAGTTCCCCGTTCCCGGCCAATGGGAGCTGCGAGGGGCAGTGCTTACAGGCAGGAGCAGCACATGGAGACCACTGCCCCACCCCCTCGGGACCTCAGGGAGCGGCCCATGGCCAGGGCAGGCAGGGAGCCTGCCTTAGCCCCACTACGCTGCCGGACTTTTAGTGGCCGGAGATCGCGACCGACCGACCAGTCCATCGCGATCTATGGGATGGTGACCACTGTTCTGTGGCATTGTGGAAAATAGTCTATGGAAGGAAAGTTTCTGGATGAAAAATAGAGTCCGCCCAGAATCAAAGATTTTTCCCTACAGGGACTAGTGAGAATGTCAGGGAAATGCAATAGTGCAAAAAAAGCCTTGCTGTAGAAGGATATTTAAAAAACCAAAACTTGGCTAAAAATGAATGACGAAGGTGGTGGTCAGAGCTTCGTATGAGGAGGCTGCTGTGTCAAAACACTAACGAAGACAAAGTGCAGGGTGGTACTCTGTAGGAGCAGGACTGCAAGTAAGAGCTTCCTGGCAGCAGGGGTTACTGACTGGGGAAATGGATTGGCTTCTCAGGTCCTCTCAGAAAGGAGAAGGGCTGGTACTTTTCTTTGACTTCCCAAAGGCCTAGGACTCTGTTTTTTGTGGGCTGTGGAAGCAAACTGACTTTTTGTTTGGATTCCTTTAGCTCCCCTCTCCCCGGCAACGTGCCTTGAACAGCACAGCTGGAGGCCTGTTCCCTGGACTGAGAGACGGGGCAGTGCCCACCCCCCTCCCCAAAAAAACAACAAGGAGTCCAGTGGCACCTTAAAGACTAACAGATTTATTTGGGCAAATAAATCTGTTAGTCTTTAAGGTGCCACTGGACTCCTTGTTGTTTTTGTGGATACAGACTAACACAGCTACCTCCTGATACTCTCTCCCCAAGGGGGTGCTAGAAAGGTATAGCCTACTACAAGTGTATTAACAAGAGCATGATAAGACATGAGAGAGAATTGTTTCACTCTTCTCAGCATTGGTAAGGCTTCAGCTAGAGTAGCGTGTCCAGTTCTGGGCACCACACTTTAGGAAAGATGTGGACAAACTGGAGAGAGTCCAGAGGAGAGCAACAAAAATGCTTAAAAGTTTAGAAAACCTGACCTATGCAGAAAGGTTAAAAAAACTGGACGTTTAGCCTTGAGAAAAGATGACCAAAGGGGGACCTGATAACAATCTTCAGCTAAGTTAGGAGCTGTTATAAAGAGAACTGTGATCAATTGTTCTCCATGTCCATTGAAGGTAGGACAAGAAGTAATCTGTTTAATGAGCAGCAAGGGATATTTAGGTTCGATATTAGGAACAACTTTCTAACTCTAAGGGAAGTTAAGCTCTGGAATAGGCTTCCAAGGAAGGTCATGGAATACCCACCATGGGAGGTTTTTAAGAACATGTTGGACAAACACCTGTCAAGGATGGTCTAGATATAGTTGGCACTGCGTCAATACAGGGAGATGGACTAGATGACCTCTTGAGGTCCCTTCTAGCCCTGCATTTCTATGATTCTATAGCAGGGCTGGGCAAACTTTTTGGCCCAAGGGCCACATCTGGGTATGGAAATTGCATGGCGGGCCATGAATGCTCATGAAATTGGGGGTTGGGGTGTGGGAGGGGGTGAGGGCTCTGGCCTGGGGTGCGGGCTCTCCGGTGGGGCCAGAAATGAGGAGTTCAGAGTGCAGGAGGGTGCTCCGGGCTGGGGCAGAGGGTTGGGGTGTGGGTGGGGGGGTGAGGGCTCCGGCTGGGGGTGCAGGCTCTGGGGTGCAGGAGGGTGGGACCGAGGGATTCGGAGAGTGGGAGGGGGATCAGGGTTGGGGCACTGGAGGAGGTCAGGAGTGCTGGCCAATGGGAACTGCAGAGATGGCGCTAAGGGAGGGGACAGCGTGCAGAGCCCCCTGGCTGCCCCTACGCATGGGAGCTGGAGGGGGGACATGCTGCTGCTGCTTCCACGAGCCATGTGGAGCCACGGCACACGTGGAGCGGGGCAAGCCCCAGATCCCGCTCCCCAGCAGGAGCTCGACGGCCGGATTTAAACATTTGAAGGGCCGGATGCAGCCCCCAGGCCGTAGTTTGCCCACCCCTGTTCTATAGAGTCAAACTGAAGATGCCATCAGTGGCTAGTTAAACCTCCTGGAAAGGATTAATATCTTCAAGAAACATACTCCATGAAACAGAATGTCAAGAAACAGACAAATTAAAAATAGAGGGTCCTTTTACTGCACCCCACCTCTTGTGATGCTGGAAATCTGGTAGACCTGAACTAACAAATTATATTCATCTTCTGCCTATTTGAAACTAATTTCATATTCTAATATTAAAGGATTACAGTTTCTTCAAGTCAGGAAGTTGCTGAAGAAAGTAACTCACTCTAACTCCAGTGCAGATACAGAGTATGGCTTAATCTAAAACTCTTTAGTATTCATAGAGCATAACAATGCCTCAACCCTGTTAATCACGGCTCTGATCCATTTCCAGAGTGTGCTTGCAGACTGGGACTGTAATGTTCTGCAGACCTCGAGTGTTTGTTCAAGAGATTTTAAACATGGCCCAAGTCCAACAGTAGACAGATAAGGACCAGTGGAGACTTCTATTATTAGACTTTACTGTAATACCCAGAAGGCCCAATCAGAATCAGGGTCCTATTGTGCTAGATTGCTGTACAAACACAATCTCTTTTGTGTGTGTGCGCTCATGCGTGTGTGCATGTGTGGTGGGGTTTTTTTTGTTTGTGAGGGGTGGGAAGGAGGGTTGTAACATGGACCAGAAGCTGCTATTCAAATACCAAATAATAATTCTGGAAACTTACTAAGCAAAAATAAAAAAATTGCGTAAGATCTTGACTGGCATTTGTTCCTTTTTCTTTAAAAATAACTGGCAAAAATTGATAGTTTAAATTGTATGAGGATCTCAGCACAATCATGTTTATTTTTCCTTTTAAAAAACCCACTGTCTGCAAAAAGCTAAATCTAAGACACATTCCTTCTAAGTTTTGTTGTTAAAAGGGATAGTGTGATTAAAAATCCCGTGTATGTACAATAAAAATGTCTTTAACTATATTACAGTTTAGATGACAAACTCAAAACTGAAAAACTCTAACATACTTTCCCCACTATTTATGGTGATGTTTACTTACGCATTTTGCTCAGCTTGGACAAAGAAAATCGACTGGTCAATTTCCATTTAGCTTCAGTGTGGTCTAATGCTGTGTTGTTTGATTTGCAAAGGCGGCATGGGAATGCTGATTTGTATATAAACATACTTTTCCCATTTGAATTGAAATAAACTTGTTCAAGATTTCAAAAATAGGAGGCGAAAGTTAATTTCCTCAGTCCCTACATAGGCTCTTGCCTGATTTTCAAAAAGTGCTGAGCTCCCAACAGCTCGTATTGAGGTCAATGGGATGATCCAAAAATATTCAAGGTAATGATGAGGAACAGTTTAAAGCATAAGTTGGCAAAAGTGCAGCCTATGGAGTTCAACATAGCTAGTAGGCACCTTCATTTTCAATCTGGATGGTGAGTCTACAAATCTCAGCACTGGATGCTCCAATTTGAGCTGGGAGGGCCAGGCCACTTGACCCAATTTGGAGCATTGCGCCCTAGGAGTCAGGCTGCCCAAACAGATCTAAGATGAGCGGGGCTGTGAAATTATTTTGTTAATGTGAGTTAAGGTTCCTGCTATGTTCAACTGCAGCCGTTAGGGGAGCATGATTTCTGGGGTAACGAGTGCAGGACAGGTTATACAAAACATTAGAAAAGAGATGAAAGGCTGCAGATGTAAGGCTTTATCAGTATCTAGTATTATATTGCTAACTCCACGCTCTCTCTCATTGTCGCATGCTGTGCTTGTTCCTCTTAGCAAGAACATGGCAAATAAAAAGATGGAAATATTCTCCCCTCTGGAAGCTGTGCAAATCTGTGCTGTGCTGGAGGACTGTCTTGATCAGCTTGCTATTCTTGGATATATTATGCCAGTTTCCTATGAGGGCAGGACAGACATCAGCAATGTAGGTGCCTCTATTTTTTAAATTCTCTTATCTTCCTTCCTGTCTTTATGCTACATCTTCTTTTGACTCCTCTTAAAAATAAATGTTGATATATTTTCATTGTAAAGCGCTCCACAGCCCGTGAGAGAAGGAACAGTCTGTTTGCCAGAAGCTGGGAATGGGCAACAGGGAATGGATCACTTGATGATTACCTGTTCTGTTCATTCCCTCTGGGGCACCTGGCATTGGCCACTGTCAGAAGACAGGATACTGGGCTAGATGGACCTGTGGTCTGACCCAGTATGGCCGTTCTTATTATAAATGCATCATCTTGTTGTTCAGCTGGAGACTGATTTTAATACTTATATTGCAGTAGCATCCAGAGGCCCTAATAAGGATTTGGGTCCCATTCAGGTAGGCGCTCCACAAACATAAACAAAGACATGATTCCTATGCCAAAGAACTTACAATCTAAGATAACAGTCAAAATGCAAAGGAGTAGGGAAAGGAAAACGATCAAACATAGCTAAGTTGTATATACATACATGCATTTCTTTTTAAAAAGTAAATAAGAATAGGATTTTCAAAAACACTCAGTACTGATGTAATTCTGCTCCCATAGAAGTCACTCATGAAACTCCCATTGACTTCAGAGGGAACAGAGTTGGGCCAACACTGAACATTTTTGAAAATTCCACCCTAAATCTATAACTAACCAACTGCCCCTCAGCCTAGAGTCATTAGCTGGCTGATTTCACATTAGGCATCGCAGCATAAGTGGGTCTTGAGGGGAGATTTGAAGGAGAGGGCAGCTCAGCAGGGTGTTCCATGTATTAGAGGCAGCCTACTGAAAGTGTGGAGATGTTTTTGGAGAAGGAGGTAGTTGCAGGTGATGGTAGAGTGGTGAATGAGGTGATAAGACCCAAGAGTGGGCCTAACCATCTTGAGAGGCAAGTTGTTTTGATCTCTGCTATCACCTCAAGAATCTTAACTTTTACCTAAGGCAGCAGCCAATTTCCAGGCTGAGCAGTTATGAAACTTTTCCTTCTGAGTAAGGAACTGGAAATAATTGAAGCATCATGACTGAGGTGGCATAAACTACTGGAACTTAGTTTATCTGGTCTAATGCTGCTTCGTTTTATTCTTCTCACCATGCCTAAAATATCAGCAGAGAAAGAAAGAGGAAGAGTAAAGTAAAATTTAATGTTGTATGCCAGTCCTTTGTCTCTTATCTGTTTTCAAGAACAAGAAGTCTATTATACTGTGACAGAGAATACTCAGAATCTGAAGTGTGTACTGGATTCAGAGCCTGACTAATGCTTAAGCCATACAGTAGAGGGCACTCCTTCCCTGAAATGAGATCTATGGACTAGTTCCACCTACTCCCAGATATGAATTCTCATTCACTAAATAGCGTGTGGAAAGCTTCTGATATTAGCATTGAACGCCCACAGAGAAAACACATTCCCAAGGATTCTAGGGGGTGTTCTCCTCCTGACGCGCATGTTCAGTTTGTGATAGTGTCAATGAAAGTCATGCCCAATATAGAGAACAGCTATGTGCTAACTCCATTGCTCTGTCATTTTGCACTGCATCCCATCCCATATTTTTCAGTTGTAAATTGTCAGTTTCATTTCAAGGCACCCTATCTTCTGCCTAGCACATAGCTGTAGAAGTCAATCATAGTTATGACATTTTATATAACATTAATCACAGTGTCAGCTGATCATTCATTAACTTTCTCAATCAATGACTAGGGCGCACTGTTCCATTTCATGGGCCCCCTCCCCCCCCAGAGGAATGGAGTGTTTCCATTTGCTGAATTTAGCGCAATTGCCTCCTACACTGTGCCGCAAAAAAATAAACTGCTAGCGGACTGAACAAAAGGCACCTCATGCAATTTACAAACTCTCCATCCTTTGGTAATTGAACTATCCTAGGGATTTTAAGGTACCTATCAAAGTGCCTGTAGATACTACATTACATTAAAGCAGTTTCTTTGCCAAGCTCAGGTTTTTCTGAAGTTCGGTCATTTAAGAACTTGAGATTCAAGCTATTTTAATATTGTTCCTTTAAAGTAGTTTTTTTTATTTGCGCCTGTCTGTGTACATTTAGTGTATACAATTTATATACCAATTCACACAAATACACATACACACAGTACATCTGGGCAGATCCTCAGCTGGTTAACTGTCCTAACTCAATGGCGCTATGATCATTGACATCAGCGGAGGATCTCGATCGTTTGTTTTCCAACTCACACCTTAGACTGCCCAAATATCCAAAATGTTTCCATAGAGCTTGTTACGAAGGTAGCGGCCAATATTTTGAATTTCCCCTCCTGCCCCTGTGCTTAAAGTTAAGGAGGGATAAAGGTCTTTGCAAAATCAAGCATGCATTATAAATAAATAAAGACTGCATTTTTTTAGATTTCAGACTCCCGTCTCTTTGGTGTGTAATTTAATACACTATATCAATGGCTGTGGGCATGATTCTAATCTCGTTTATTGTTTAATCAACTGTTTCCTCTTCTGTTACATAACATTGCAGAGTTTTTCATTTCTCTTCTGTCCCTTATGCACATAAATCTTTTGTTCCCTTGTAGATTGATGCCCAAGAAATTAGTGAAATCGTCAAGAGCCAGAAGGAGTTGGGGGTTAAGTTTGAACATCTCATGTCAGCAAGGTCAGAGAACAGGCCAACAGTTCCCTCCGAATCACTGAAGTTCACAGAACTGGGGCAGCAGCTGCAAGAGACAAGTGGAGATCTAAAAAGGGCCAATCATCTTTTTAGTAGGGCTGCAAAACAGAGTGCTGTGTCCTCCGATAACCTCAGAAAAGTTCAAGCTGATAGGTGAGTGATCAGAGAGGACTGTGACTTTTAGTGAACGGTGCCAGATGACAGACCTGAAGACTATGAAGCCCTTCATTTATCTCCAGAACAGATAGCAGCAATATACGCTTCCCTCCTCCTTGCTAATGTACTTTAACCCTGACCTGGCGGGAATAGGGAGTTTAGTCTTCAAGACCCATTCAAGACCCTGGCTTCTGCTTAGACTGACAGCAAGGAGGCCATTTACTGTGGTTTGGGAACTAGGATAACTATCCATTAGGAAGTGGATTGACACTACCAACTAATTTCTCAAAGGTTTGCAAAGTATGGTCTAGTGTTCATGATTTTTGATCACTTTAATAGACTCCAAACTGATGACCTTTCAATAATTCATCCCTGGAGCCATCCAGTACTGGTGTGTTAATGTTTGGGATCAAGGTTTCTCTAGCAAATATTAGTTTATTAGTGAAATTAATTAAACAGGCTGAGCATTGTCTCTTGAGCTCAGTCAATTAGTGTCTCATACGATGCCACTGTAGCACTATTACTGCTGTGCACTCCATCCTGCTTTACAGAACAGCTAATGAACACCAAGGCCAAGATTTTTTTTAAAAAGGGAGCCAGATGTTGGCCCATATTTAGGCTCCTAATTAGATGGCTTGATTTGAAAGAGTGCTGAGTACATAGCAGCTCATTGATTTAAGGAGTCTAACATGAGGCACATATATTAGAAAATCTTGGCCTGTATAATTAAGCAGCAAAATCAAATGAAGGAGTTCAAGGAAATTCAGTGCAAAAAAAATTCCCAAATGAATGCAGAATTGCCACTGAGACTGTAATCACATATGCACCAGGAAATTCTACATGCTGGTAAATTGTGAGCTCTTCAGGGCAGGGACCATGTTTGTGTGAATGCCTGTACAGCACCTAACACAATGGGTTTCCATCTTGAGTGGGGCCTCTTGGTGCTACTGTAATATAAATGTTAAATGATAACTCAGGCACACTGGACGGTCTTAAGGCATAAACGTAACCCCTCCACCATACTACAAAATACTCCAGATGCACAAGTGGGAGTTATAGTGGGAAACATAACTCTGTCTACACCAGAGGTTTTGCCGGCGTGGGTGAGGGGAGTGATTTTTTTCGTGCCATTATAGCTATGTCAGCAAAACTGTGTAGTGCAGACGAAATGCTTTGGATTTGGTGTAAGAACCTGAACAGAAGAAAAGCAGGACATTGCGTTACTGTAACTTTTTTAGCAGTGAACAATAAAGGGGCCAGTATGTTTGAGCCAGGCATTGACTTGCCAGAAAATAACATCTTTGTCTAAGTTGCTGTTGTGTTCCTCCTTGTTCTTGTCGGCAGGCAGTATGCGAGCGATGTGATTGCAGAAACTCTGCAGGAAATGCAGACTTCAGGAACGTTTCAGAGTCTGCTGCAAGCTGTGCAGAGAGAGGAGGAGAGGAAGACTAACTTCTACACCACCATCATCAGGTTAGGGTTGTGTTAGGCATTTTCCCAGCTTCAATCACCACTGCTCCTGAGTACATGTTCTCACTTACAGGATACAAGAGAACACGGCTTCTTCCATCTGAGCATTGCTGTGTACTTCGTAAACATTCACTACATTACATTTAGGGAGAGAAGTCACTTCTGGGCCTACTTTTCCTGTCTCCGGTGGGAATGCCCCCTCCTGCCCATGTCCTGCCACCAGAATGCTACTGACATGCCCCCTGCCTCCCTTTATGCTGGGGACAGGGAGCACAGAGATGGCAGAGCTGCCTCCATCAGCAGAGAGTTACCTTAGGCAAGTGTAACCCACTGGCGAGTGCGTTACAGGTTCCCCTCTGTAGCGATCTGCAGCAAATAGGAGTTTGTTACAGCCCCAAGTACAGAGCTTTAGCTCAAGCTGTAGGTCATGCTTTTTGGCTCTGGAGGTCCTCAGTTCAATCCCAGATGTATCAGCCAAGATGGCAGCTGTCACGCGAGGGGAATTCACCACCAGCATTTTCCACTGTTTTAAGGCGGCTTTGCTCTGTGTAGCAAACAGCAGAATCCTGCATCTAGTGTAGGCAGGCAATGCTGCGATTTGCATGGGTGAAGCTTACCTTGATTTCAAACAAATGTAAGCACCAGTAGTGCACACTATGGCTTTAAGCAGCTACAGTGGTGGCCACCAACGGCTGTGATCAAGGCAAATCCCCAATGCAGAGGAGGCCGAAGTGAGAAGTGTCTAATTTCCTCAAGTGGATACTTGCTGCATACAACAGTTGTCCCGCTATCTAAAACTAGAGGGATCTGTTCTGCTTACCCATGCAGGGGGCAGAAGAAAAATGACGAGTGGTGATTGTCTGTGGAATAACCATCAGATAGTTCAAACAGAATATGGACAAATTACAACACCTGAAAATGGCATCTCAGTTTATTCTGCATCCATCAGATGTGTCTAATCAGTGCTAAGGGTTCACCTTCCTTTGCACTTTTTTGAGTGAGCCCTATATGTCTTCCAGTATAACATGGCTTCTGATTTTTGGTTTTGTCCAATAAACATCGATAAAACACTCGATAAAAAAATCCCAACACCGATAAACCCCGGAAATGGTTACATGTGTCTAAAGGTTTGTCTAAATGGAGCAGTAATGTGGGCTACAGAGGTGTGGTTTCTAAAGCGCACCAATGTGTTGTGGATTAATTGGTCTGTGTAGACACTAAGGGTTCCTTAGTGCGCTTTAAGATAGTGCTGTTCGAAACAGTACTATATTAAAGTGTACTAGGGAACATTACAAAGATTATTCATTACAGTATATGCAAAAGCCCCGAGCCCCCTTGATTTTTGGACATCTACAGAGAAATTTACATATTTGATTTTTAAGTGTCAACCTGTGAGAGTCTAAAAGTAGTCTTTATCCTGAGATAAGACTGGAAATTCATTCTCTCAATCTCGTTCACCCAGATGGTGACTCTTCAAGATGGAATGTATGTTGGAGTGTAAGCTCCTTAGGACAGGGACCTGTCAAATTGATGAATGAATGAAGTGCCATATGCACCCAAGCCCCTGTATGGATATTCGATTATAAGCATAAAACCTTAGAAGAAAATCAGAGTGACATGGGCTAGGGTAACACAAGCTGGAAAGCTCCTGGCTATACATTTTAAGGCACAGATTCTATTTTTTTTCCTTCTTTTGTAAGGATAAAGTGGAAAGCTGGTGCAAATAAAAAACTATTCCAATTGCCCATCAATAACAGAAAATATGCCTGCCCCAAAGACTACCATGATTTTGTTTTGAAATGTAAACATCTTTGTCAGTTTTGGTGTCCATACATCTCCCCTTACTGATTTGAGAATTTGAACAGGTTTGTTTTTTAAACATATAGATTTTCAGTTCACCCTTAACAAAAATAGTCTTATACAAAAACTAAAGCCTGTGTAATCTGGAAATGGCTAGCGATCAGGGACATGATCCTGCATTGAAATTTATGGGAGTTTTAGTATAGAAGCTGTCCCCAAATAGTAGGATTCCTTCCTCTACTCTCTCAACCAAATAAATCAAGTCTTTGTGGAGTCTATACAGGCTTCTGTTGGAAGAATTCTGCATTTTTTGCTTCATTCTCCCAATCAGTCCCACCTGTCTGGCTCAGCAGTTGTACATGAACCATACATCACTGCACTGTGGATTTATTTACCACGTCATCAGCGCTATGATCACATCCCAGTTTATGACTTTCAGATACATAGCCTCCCTGAAGCTTAAAGTGGACAAGAAATGGCCTGTTTGCCAACCAGCCAAGGAAAGGTGGCTCACCCTGTGGTACTGCAGAGTCCTGGGGAGCTTTCCAACCTACAAGCTCTCAGCGCAAGCAGGAGGAGCAGGGCTGTGTTTTGTAAGGTGCAACACTGCATCAGAAGGGGGGAAGTCCCCTTCCTGGGGAAAGCTAACCCTACTCTCTCGTGCTGTATTCAAGGAATGTAGGTTTTTTTCCCTTTTGCTTTTTCCTCTAGGGAGGAGGAAGGAAGGAAGGAGATAAAGTCCCTCCAGAAATGGCTGCAAGATGTCAAGAAAGAAAAGGAATTAGAACTTCAGGTGAGAATATCTGAGATGGGCAGCCTGCTAGAGAGGAAATGTGTTACTGAGCACGCCCAGACCGGGACCTCTCCTTCCTAGGGAGGTTCACAGTCTCTGGGCTTGTCTACACTTACCGGAGGGTCCGGCGGCAGGCAATCGGTTTTCTGGGATCGACTTATCGCGTCTAGTGAAGACACGATAAAATCGATCCCTGATCGCTCTGCCGTCGACTCTGGAAATCCACCGCGGCAAGAGGCGGCAGCGGAGTCGGCGGCAGCGCGGCAGCGGTCGACTTTCCCTCGTCCTCACAGCCAGGAAAGTCGACCTACAATACGCAACTTCAGCTACGGTATTCACGTAGCTGAAGTTGCGTATCTTAGGTCGGACCCCCGCTGTAGTGTAGACCTAGCCTCTGATGAAAGGGTGTGAGCACACAAGTAATACTCTCTCATTTGGGGGCAGGCAGGGAAAAATAGAAACAAAACAAGAGCGAGTGTAGCTACATCACCAGTGTTCTGGGTGTTGAATGATTGTTAATTACTGTTAAAGCACCGATCAGTGCTGTACAGCTATAATAGTCTCTTCCTCAGGGAGTTTACAATTTAAAAGAGACGCAGATCAGATTTGAATGCAGTGGGAAACCCAGAGGATGGTGCTAATTGGGATGGGGATGACATAATACCGACAGGGATTAGCATTTGAAGGCCTAGGGGAATAAATAGGTTCTAAGGAAGGCGTTAATGGAGATGGTGGGGACATAATGTTCTGTGATAAAGGGTTGATCCAGGCAGAAGGGAGAAAGCATGAAGAGGCGAGAGTGAGAGGGAAATGAAGGGAGTGATGCTGCTGCACACCGATGGAGTGAGGGGTGTGCGAAAAGAAACCAGCAGAGATAGAGGCAGAGCCGTGCAGGGCCTTGAAGGCAAGGACAAGACTCTGACACTTGATTCAGTAGGTGAGGAGGAGGCAGGAGAGGATCTGTATAAAGGAGTGATCGGTTGAGTGGCAAATGAGGGTCATTTTATCTACAGTATTCTTGATGGACCAGAGGTGAGCGAGATGGAAAATGGAGTCCAGAGGGGAGGACTTAGCAGTGGTTGAGCCCGGAGATTACTTGGGTATGGAAAAACATTTCAAGTTGAAGGCACATTGAGGAAGGGCTACTTTTTATAGAAGTTGAAGAGGAAGCAGCAGCAGGACTTGGTGAGAACCTAGATGCGCATGGAAGAGCAAGAGCCACTGAAAAACGACCCTATGGTTGCAAGTCTGACAAGGATGGTATTGGCATCGGAGAAGAGAAGAGAAGGTTTTGGAGGAAAGATGAGGAGCTCAGATATAACGGTGTATAGTTTGAGGAAACAGCAGAACCTCCAAACGTGATATCAATGAGACAGGAAGAAATGTTGAAGTGGAAAGTAGATTTGAGAGTCATCAGCATAGAGGGGCTAGAAGAGACAAATGGGGGCGGATGAAATAAATTGGGGTAAGTGTAGGAGGAAGAAAAGGAGGAGACAAAAAGAACCCAGGTGAACCTTGCAGAAAGGAGGAACCACTGAAGGCAATCTTGAAGGAACAAATGGTTACAAGATAGGTAGTGAACCAAGGAAGCTCAAGGACAGACACAGGAGCTCAAACATCTTCCAGGAGAAATGGAGAGTGAGGATTACTTTTCTAGAGGATTTCAGTGCCTTCAGTTCGGCACTGCGTCTAAAGGAATCTGAGGTCAGAGACTGGTCTGCAAAAGGGAGATGTGTGACTTAATAGATATTTCTTTTCTGCTGCTGAAACTGGACTCAAGCCTATATCCAGGCCCTAAGGGGGAAAACGGAACAGTTTAAAAGTCTGTTGACCTCTGTTTGGCAGTTAAAAGAAATAAATTAGTTGTTTCATTTGGCCTCAAGTAGTGTGGCAGTTACTTGAGGATTATATTTTGTCCATTTCTTAGTGCACGTTGTCTCCTCCAGTTCAGATTCAGGTCACCCATAGGGTAATGCTGGGAAGCTCTCCATGCACTGTACCAACATAAGGAGCAGAGCTGGTGCCAAAGTTAGTGCTGTAGAAGCCCAACAGTGTTTGTATGCCCAACTTACACATGCTGTTCTGTTTTAATGTAGTTTCCACAACTCTTTCCAGTACTAGGAAAAGTGCCTCACCCGCTGGAGCTTTCTTTGGCCCAGGGCACTTCGGTGGTGGGTCCTGGGGCGGAAGGACCCCCCACTGCGGGTCTTCGGGGCACTTCGGTGGCGGGTCCTGGAGCAGAAGGACCCCCCGCCACCGAATTGCCGCTGAAGACCCTGAGCGGAAGAAGCTCCGGGGGCCCGGCCCTGCGAGAGTTTTCCAGGGCCCCCGGAGCGAGTGAAGGACCCTGCTCCAGGGGCCCCGAAAAACTCTCGTGGGGGCCCCTGTGGGGCCCGGGGCAAATTGCCCCACTTCCCCCCCCCGAGCGGCCCTGCTTTGGCCTCAGCTTTGTTAAACTTTTTTGCGTTTGCTGTAGGTGATGATCCTTTGTTTTTCAGCCTTTACCTTCTGATCTTTGAGTACCTTCCTTCTGTCTTTGCGATCAGCCTCACAAAGCGTAGCCTGCAGTCGTTTTCTTTCCAACTTAAAGTCCTCTTCCTGGGTTTCCTTATAGCCTGATCCTTGATAACAAATCAAGGTGAAGTTACTTTCAAATCCTGCTTTCCTCCCATTGCTAAAAAATAACCTGCTCCGATTAGGTCTCCCTGGGAGAATGATTTCTAGTCAGTCCATTGAGGAATTTCTGATAGGCAACTTTACCAAGACTTTCATGATTTGGCACACTGCCAACTAATTTACAAAAAAAGCATGTTGATTATGGAGCATTTTGAGCAGCAACAATAGAGGGTGGTAGGGACTAAAGTCCCCATAGCAGTCTCCAGTCTTTGGACTGACTGTGAAAGAGAAAACAGAAGCAAGCAGGTATAATCATGGATTTAGAAAAGAAAATTCATTGTTCTGGGTCTGTTCCTTGTATGTTCTTATTTTGAGCTGTGTTAGCTCTTAACAAGACACTAATTAATAACTCACAGGGCTATTCAGCTGTTTTTCTCTCCTCATTCTCTGTAATGAGTCTCAAATACTCTTCCCTACAGATTTTGTCCTTTTAGCAAACATTGATTCCTCATTCACCTGTATTTCTAATAGAGCTGAAATTAACAAGGCTCTTCTTGTTCTTTCTCCTCTCTTTGTGCACCCGCATCATTAATAACTTTAGTTCAGCCCTAGGAATAAGATTTATTCATTTAGCTATAGCTGCTGCAGTAGTCACTTATATTTTGTAGCATTTTCCTTTTAATTTTTCATTGATGAAGTGGTGATATTCTATACAGATTATGATTATTGATGATTGAATGCAAAAACTGTGCAAATGTAACCCTAAGGTTGCACAGTCAGTATCAAAAAGTCAGGCAATGAAAACTTTTAAGTTCCAGCAGCACTCTTTACACAGCCTGTAGATTTTACAGTATACATTTTGCAGCAATCAGTAATATAGTAGGCTGCATACCTGTAGCAGAAAACCAAGAATATAACGTGGTGTGTGCAGGAGAGTAGGTTATACGCACACCAAGTTAACATTTAGATTGGATACTTAGCTTTTATTCATTCTTCTCTGTAGAGGTTCTTATACCATGCTCATCACCTTAATATTAATGCACTGCTAGAAGATGCTCAAAGTAGCATGGCCAACATTTGTCACGTTTGTTCTCTCATCCTCTTGCAGGGAAGAGAAATGTGTGCCGTGTAGTATTTTGTTTTAGAAATTTTTACAACTCCCACCCCCATGTGTTTACCGTAAAGCAGCCAGGTCATAGAAACTTGCCTTGAACTTGGAGTGGAAGATGGTGAGGTTTGTGATGGCCCTTAGTTCCTATGGGAGTTCATGCCACAATCTTGGTCTGTCCCCTGAGAAAGCTCCGACCCCTGTTTTGCAACTCCTCATTCCTTACGGTTATAGCCTTAGTGTTACATTAACTGTTTATTGGATTTAATTTCCTAATGCTTTTAAAAAAGGAAAAGAAACAATCCAGACTGACGTGTCTTACAGACTTCACAAGCTCTGCTGGCTTTGCTTTAGGAGTTTGCAATTTCGTTAAAACAAGTGTGCATTTAAATAATGGCACACGCAAGCACATTCTTTCTCTAAGTATACACCTGTAGAGAGTTAAGGACATTTCCTACTATGCATGCTCAGCATGGGCCCAATCCAGAGCTCATTTAAGTCAGTGGACAGGCTATTATTGACTTTGGATGAAGCCCCAGGCCATTTTCACAGGGCTGTCTCTTTGGTAAATCAAAACAAGTTTCTTTCAAACCATAGAATGGGCCTAATCTTCAAGAAAAGCTAGATCCATGGCACGTTTCAAACTTCAGCCCTTTTTGGTGTAGTCCTGTTCTATAAAAGGGTAGTTAGAATGTGTATATAATTACAGTGGGGCAAGTATATGTTTTGTACGAGCCACCCTGGAGATCCTGGGGCTGGGAGAGCAGGGGATTGCAGGTTGGGATAGAGGGGTATTGGCAGAGCTGTGTGTGCGCGGAGCCCAGGGCTGGGATAGCATGGTGCTGTGGATGAGGACTAGGGGAAGGGTGGTTGTGGCTTAATTGTTTAGTAGGAGCCTTTGCAGTGCTAGAAGCTGGAAATGGGCGACAGGGGATGATCACTTGATTCCCTGTTCTGTTCATTCCCTCTGGGGCATCTGGCACTGGCCACTGTCGGAAGACAGGACACTGGGCTAGATGGACCTTTGGGCTGACCCAGTATGGCCGTTCTTATGTCTTATATTAATTCAAGGTGTTGGTTTTAACCCATAAGCCTTAAAATGGTTTGGGGCTTACTTACCATAGTGACCCCCTCTCTGTGTGTGACCCTGCTGCAGTTGCTATCAGTGGAAGGGTTTGAGCTGGACCTCCGTTCAAAATTTTTTAGGGGTCCGCAAAAGGAAAAAAGGTTGAAAACCACGGATAATGCAGCCATGTGACAAGCTCCCCCTTCTGTCTGCTGGAAGCACAACAACCCCCCACCTCCTGCATTGTTTCACAGAAGAAAATACAAGCCATTACCAGATAACCTTGCTATATTATGGAGCATAAATAGGTCATGTCTCTGCTTGTTATAAAGTCATTTGTCTCAAGTCATATGACAGTGTGGGCTGTCAGGCTGAGAAACCATAAAACAATTGTGGATGCATGACTTTAACACACACACACACACACACACAAACCTCATCCAAGGGCCCTAATTGTCCTGAGCCTTATAACAGTTTGCTTTCCCTGACTATATCTGATGGGATTGTGTGTGTGTGTGTGTGTGTGTGTGTAAGAAGGATTTTTCCCTTTGAGTGTTCCAAACTCTTCTGAAAAGGAACTCTTTTCAAATGACTCATGGCCTTTAAACACCGTGCTATGGAGCAGGCTTTTTCCTTTGGGATCTTTCCATGTTTACGCAGTTAAGGAATGTGATGGTGCTTGAGCGACAAGACGTGAGCCTTTCTGTGGGCTTCAGATCACTTAAATAATACCAGCACTTCGGTGTTTCATCTTCAGCCACAAGCTTCAGCTGATGAATGTTGAACCCATTGTAACATGCAAGCAAACAGGAAGAATCTGATTGAGTAATCAAAGGCACGTGAAGTAAAACCAGATGCATTAAGCTCAGTCTTACGTAACTGCAAACTAGTCTGCTATGACCTTTAGATTCTTAGCACGTCTTGTGCTTTTCATATTAAAGAGAATTCTCCTTTAGTTACGATCCTGCATTTCAAATCTTCATCTGTTACCCCGAGAAACGAAGTAAAACTAAAAAGCCCCATCCTAAACTGAATCATTCTTCAATTCCCCAGTGCGTTCAAACATCTTGAAACACACTCAGCCACAGACATCAGCTCAGTACCTCTTAACTCCGGAGTCCCTTCTGCCAGGGGAGCACGCTCAGACCCAACTTGCATCTGGAAATCTCAGCTCTCCATTGTAGTGAGAGTGAGCAGGCAAGGGATGACAGCACATAGCCAGCTACTTTCCCTCAGCATGCCTTACTCACTCAGAGCATGTGCTTTTGCAACAAAATTTATGCTGTCCACCCTGATAAGCTTTCCAAGAAGTAGTGGCACATATGAACAGAGCAAGGGTCAATTTTCACCTGTTCTTAAATTTGCTTTGCAATTTTTTAGTTTTTCTGGTTACACAAAAACTTCCATGCAAGGAGCCCAACATGCTGTGCAAACTAAAGAATTAAACCTTAGCACCCTCACAACCGAGATGTCATTTTTTTTATAGATGGGGAAACTGAGGCACAGAGGTTGTGACTTGTCCAAGCTCACACAGGGGTCTGTGGCAGAGCCAGATATAGACCCCAATTCAGGAAACTACTTAAGCATATGCCTGATGTTAAGCCATTGAAATCAATGGAACTACTGAAAGTGATGCAAGTGCTTAAATACCTTCCTGAATCAGGGCTCTAGAGGCCAGGTGTCCTGGTGACCTGTCTGTCACTGCAACCTCTAGATAGATAATCACGCCTTCCCTCTTTGTTTGCTGCCTTCTATGCGGTTGGTTAAAAATTAGGTTTCTCTTTGAAGCTCACGTTGAACTTGGACAACACTCTGGGGGAACATAAGAACGCCCATACTGGGTCAGACCAAAGGTCCATCCAGCCCAGTATCCTGTCTACCGACAGTGGCCAATGCCAGGTGCCCCAGAGGGAGTGAACCTAATAGGTAATGATCAAGTGATCTCTCTCCTGCCATCCATCTCCACCCGCTGACAAACAGAGGCTAGGGACACCATTCCTTTCCCATCCTGGCTAATAGCCATTAATGGACTTAACCTCCATGAATTTATCTAGTTCTCTTTTAAACCCTGTTATAGTCCTAACCTTCACAATCTCCTCAGGCAAGGAGTTCCACAGGTTGACTGTGCGCTGTGTGAAGAACTTCCTTTTATTTGTTTTAAACCTGCTGCCCATTAATTTCATTTGGTGGCCCCTAGTTCTTATATTATGGGAACAAATATGGTGTCACTACAGGGCAGAATTAAGGTTGGGTGCCTTAGGTGTGAATTTCCATCCCCTAGCATATTCTGATTGCTGTTAAGTGGGTTTGGCAAAACTCATTTTGTCTCTTTCTTTTTTTAATTTCAATAGATATTGATATTTATTTTTAAGCCCTTTTTTTAATGTTTACAATTTCAATGTTCAGAGCTGTGGGAAATTATGGGGATGGTCAGACAACAATTATTTAATTACAGTAAATGTTGAGATTCTAAAAGCCAAATCATATAACCATTCAAAAACAAACTGTCAATGTCACATGCAAAATATACAGTGTAAATATCCTTATATCAAACTCTACTTTCTCCAGAAGCATTTCTGTATTTTATCTATATACATATTTTTCATCGCTGTGTGTGTACAGTGAAATCAACATTTACTGCAATTTATTCATAAAAATCCAACCCTTTCAAGCATATGTTTAAGTAATGAAGTACTTTAATTCTTTCACTTCCTAGACTGTAATGCTTGCTTGGAGGATAATTACACCCTCATGGTGATGTATTTTACGCTCAGTACCGTAACCCCATTGTGATGTAGCTCTTGTCTGGGAGCTCTGCTGAGGCCAGTGGCATTATGATCAGAAGGTGACACTCTGAAACATAAGCAGAGACACATGGGGGAGGGTGGAGGATAAGGTAACATGGAGGCTACCAGGGTTGAACATGGCCCTACAGAGTGTGGGGAGCAAACTCCCTCTCAGCCTCTCCTCTCTCCCACCTCCCAGAGTCAGTAACTCTGACCCAGAGTCAATAACTCAGCGCCAGCCCCCTGCCTTGATGACGGGGAGAAGCCTTCAGCACTATGATTTTTAAACATGTGAGGTGGGACACAGGTGAGTTTGCCTGGAGTAGTGGGCACAAGAGATTGAGAGGTGACTTGCATTTTGAAGCTCGCTTTGATGCCCCCCCATATACCCCTCCCTCCTGCCTATTCCTCAGAACCGGAACGAGATGATTGCATACCTCAAAGACCAGCTTCAAGAGATGAAGGCCAAGACAGACATGGAGAGCCGCTATGTGAAGAAAGACACAGAGCTCCAGGTCTACCAGACCCAGAAAAAGTGCAGCCACGCAGAGAGTGACCTGTTCAATGAAATTGAGGTAAGCACCGTCTTTAGGCCTGCGTGTAAAGTATCTCCAGCTAGTAAGGCGAGAGCTGGCTGACTGCAGATTGCATTGCCACCAAACAGCCAACCTGTAACTCACCCTGCAAAGAGAGGTTTGTTTTACACGCAGGTGGCACAAGCTCCTCCGTCTCACCCACCAGCCTTTCGTTCCTAGATTTCACTCTCTTACATAGAACAACTGGCGTTTTATTGACACTGCAGAGCAAGAGCCTGTCACTTTCAGACGTGCTGTCCATTCACCACTACGAGCAGTCACTCGCCGGCGCACCTCGTCACAGTGTATGCATATGTGCGTGCCAAGATAGCCTCTGACCTGTTCTGTCTTTATTGATCACAGACGCTGAGGATCAAAAATGATGAGGAGATTAGAGTCCACGTGGAGATTGAAAATTTCCTCAGGCAACAACAGATGGTGGGTGACTCAAATGTTTTCAATTAGCACTTAAGGCAGCAACCTAGAAAAATCACATCAGCTTATTCCTAGGGTGGCAATTAGTGTCTTAAGGAAAACAGTTAATGTCCATCTATCCCTCAACCAGCTTCAAGACTGTTGTTGGAATTACCATTTGCCCCCCAAACATAACACTGGTTACCTGAATTTTGGATTATTTTAAATCTGGATCTATTTCCTCCAAATCAAAATTGAGATGGGACAGATCTGTTCATCCAGATGCTGCGGGTTCTCCCCCCACCACAAGATGTTCAGATAATTGGGCTTTAAGTTAAAGTACATTCATTGCAAATAGGTCAGACTTCCAGCAGCATCAGGAGCTGGCATTAATACATGCAATATAACTACAGCTTCACAGGCCCAGGAGTTGCACATGTAAACTAGGACACTGGGGGCAAGGAAAGACATTATAGAAGCCATCAATCTGTTTTTGCTTTATCCTAGCCTGTTTGCTCAGAGGGAAATCCAGCTGGGTAGGATAAATATCGATTCACAACTCCTTTGATAGACTCAGATTGCAATCAATCCATAACGTCTGTTATATTAATTCAGGTTGCCCACGATCCATAATGTCTGTTGTATTATTTTATATGGAAGAAAGGACCCAAAGAGTCAAAGGTGTTAACACAACCCTGAAACTGTTCAACATTAAACAGCATTGGACAAGGTTCAGGGTTTGCTCTATAGAGACTTCAGCCTGCTTAGTACCATGGCAAACATACTATAAAAAATTCTTTATAACCTTTTATTAAAGATACAGAAAAAGGAGGCAAAGCAGTTAAAGCATTTGAAATGTAAGGTATTAAGTAAGGTTTTAATTTTAACATCCCCTGTTCCCTTCCCTTAAGCTGTAGAGAGTCTTTAGAAGAAGAAAACCCATGTCTGACAGTCTCTAAGATGGTGTTAAAAATGGTAATAATTGTCCTTTTTGGGGAAGAGAGAAGACATTAGTTGAGATGAGCTGGAGCTGTCCTTGCTGTTGTTAAAGTCCGATCCCATTTCCTTGAAGGCAAAACAAGAAACACACGCAAAAGGGAAAAGAGACAATGCAGTGTCTGTCTCTGGAGTTGACTTTCACTCAGGGCTGCCCAGAGGATTCAGGGGTCCTGGGGCAAAGCGGGGGAGCGGACATAAAAAAAGGCACCACCCGCTGCGGCGCTTGTACTCACCGGGCGGCGCTCCGAGTTTGCGGTGGCGGCAAGTCCTTCACTCGCTCCGTGGAGTGTATTAACAAGAGTGTTTATAAGACACAGGAGGTAATTGTCCCACTGTACTCGGCACTGGTGAGGTCCCAGCTAGAGGACTGTGACCAATTCTGGGCACTGCACTTTGGGAAAGATGTGGACAGACTGGAAAGAGTCCAGAGGAGAGCAACAAAAATGATCAAAGGTTTAGAAAACCTGACCTATGAAGAAAGGTTAAAAAAACTGGGCACATTTAGTCTTGAGGAAAGAAGACTGAGGGAGAACCTGCTAAGTCTTCCAGTGTGTTAGGGGCTGTTATAAAGAGTACGGTGATCAATTGTTCTCCATGCCCAGTAAAGGTAGGACAAGAAGTAATGGACTTAATCTGCAGCAAGGGAGATTTAGGTTAGATGTTAGGAAAAACTTTCTAACTCTAAGGGTAGTTAAACTCTGGAATAGGCTTCAAAGGGAGGTTGTGGAATCCCCATCACTGGAAGCTTTTAAAAACAAGTTGGACAAACACCTGCCATGGATGGTCTAGGTTTACTTGGTCCTGCCAGAGCGCAAGGGGCTGGACTTGATGACTTCTCAAGGTCCCTTCCAGCCATACATTTCTACAATTCCTCTCCATTCAGTTTGCCAGCATTGCGGTAGCTGGCTTTTCCCCCAAAGTCTCTTCTCAAGGACCCCAAAAGGGAGTGCTGGGTGGAACATCCCATGCCCTCATCATTTTGTTAATCAGTTAGGACTAATTTCCGACACCAATTTTGGTCAATTGATTTCCAGTCATACAATTCTCTTGTTTACCAGGCAGGATCTTAACACAGTCCTTGAATTATATCAGGAGGCCTTTTCATTTGAACTAATTCAGTCTGTCTTGCTTTATAAACTTCTGTCCACTTCCCCACAGTTAGGCCCATAATGAGGGTACCTTTGTAGGCCCAATTATCACAGCATGTCCTTGTGTCACCTCTGATGCAACTGTCCAAACAAAGCTTTCCCAGCACTGAAAAGACGGTTACTCACCGTTGTAACTGTTGTTCTTCGAGATGTGTTGCTCATATCCATTCCAGTTAGGTGTGTGCGCGCCGCGTGCACGATCGTCGGAAGATTTTTACCCTAGCAACACCCCGTGGGTCGGCTGTGGAGCCCCCTAGAGTGGCGCCGTTATGGCGCTGGATATATACCCCAGCCGACCCAGCGCCCCCTCAGTTCCTTCTTGCCGGCTACTCCGACAGTGGGGAAGGGGGGCGGGTTTGGAATGGATATGAGCAACACATCTCGAAGAACAACAGTTACAACGGTGAGTAACCGTCTTTTCTTCTTCGAGTGCTTGCTCATATCCATTCCAGTTAGGTGACTCCCAAGCCCCACCTAGGTGGCGGGGTCGGAGTGAGACATTGCTGTGTGCAGAACCGCTGACCCGAAAGCAGCATCGTCTCTGGATTGTTGCACCAGCGCATAGTGAGTAGCAAATGTGTGGACCGATGACCACACTGCAGCTTTACAAATGTCCTGGATTGGTACTTGAGCCAGAAAGGCAGTCGAGGAGGCCTGGGCCCTCGTGGAATGAGCAGTGAGGCGTGGCGTCGGTACACCGGCCAGGTCGTAGCAAGCACGAATGCAGGACGTAATCCAAGAGGACAGGCACTGTGAAGAGACCGGTGAGCCTTTCATCCGGTTGGCCACCGCAACGAAGAGCTGCGTCGTTTTCCTAAATGGCTTTGTACGGTCAATGTAGAAAGCCAGGGCCCTGCGAACGTCCAAAGAATGTAAACGTTGGTCTTGACGAGTAGCGTGCGGTTTCGGATGGAAGACCGGAAGAAATATATCTTGGTTTACGTGGAAAGGTGACACCACCTTCGGAAGAAAGGCAGGGTGGGGGCGAAGCTGCACCTTGTCCTTGTGGAACACCGTGTAAGGGGGCTCGGATGTCAGCGCCCTGAGTTCCGAGACGCGTCGTGCTGAGGTGATGGCTACGAGGAAGGCTGTCTTCCAGGATAAGTACAGGAGTGAGCAGGTCGCCAATGGTTCAAACGGAGGCCCTGTGAGCCTGGAGAGGACGAGGTTGAGGTTCCACGTCGGAACCGGCTGTCGCTGCTGTGGGTACAGCCGGTCTAAGCCCTTGAGGAATCTAACGACCATCGGGTTAGAGAAGACCGAGGACGTGAGTTCTCCTGGGTGGAAAGCGGAAATAGCGGCGAGGTGAACCTTGATTGAGGATGTCGCCAAGCCTTGCTGTCTTAGGGACAGAAGGTATTCCAGTATCAAGGGGATAGGAGCCTGCGCGGGAGACGTAGCTCGTTGCTCACACCAACAGGAAAACCTCTTCCACTTGGCTAAATAAGTGGTCCGCGTAGAGGGCTTTCTACTTCCCAGCAGGACCTGTTGGACGGCCTGGGAGCATTGCCGCTCTGTCCGACTCAACCATGAAGCATCCACGCCGTGAGGTGGAGTGACTGCAGGTCGGGGTGACACAGCCGGCCGTGGTCCTGAGAGATGAGATCCGGAGTCAAGGGGAGCGTGATGGGCCTCTGTACTGACAGCTCCAGCAGTGTGGTGTACCAGTGCTGTCTCGGCCAAGCGGGAGCGACTAGAATTACCCGTGCATGGTCCCTGCGGATCTTGAGCAGCACCCTGTGGACGAGCGGGAATGGAGGAAAGGCGTAGAACAGATGGTCTTTCCATGCCATGAGGAAGGCGTCTGACCGAGAGCCCGGGGCTCGCCCGTGTAGGGAGCAGAATGCCTGGCACTTCCTGTTGGCCCGAGACGCGAATAGGTCGATCTGGGGAAACCCCCACCTTTGGAAGACGGAATAAATGATGTCCGGGCGAATCGACCACTCGTGCGTGTGGAAGGACCTGCTGAGACGGTCCGCCAGCGTATTCTGGACTCCAGGAAGGAATGACGCCGTGAGATGAATCGAGTGGGCGATGCAGAATTCCCACAGGCGAATGGCCTCTTGGCATAGGGGAGATGAGCGAGCTCCGCCTTGCTTGTTGATGTAAAACATGGCCGTGGTGTTGTCGGTGAGAATCAGCACGCAACGGCCCTGTAGGAAGTTGAGGAAAGCCTGGCAAGCCAGGCGCACCGCCATCAGCTCTCGGACGTTGATGTGCAGGGCTAGTTGGGACGCGGACCACAGGCCTTGGGTATGGTGCTCCCCCAGGTGAGCGCCCCAGCCTAGAGATGAAGCGTCCGTAACTAGGTGGAGGGAGGGCTGCGGGGCGTGAAAGGGTACTCCTGCACAGACCGCTGTGCGATCCGTCCACCAGGCGAGAGAGGCCAAGACCGAGGCCGGAACCGTGACCACCATGTTCAGGTCGTCTCGATGAGGACGGTAGACCGATGACACCCAAGCCTGCAGTGGGCGAAGTCGCAGTCTGGCGTGCCTGGTTACGTATGTACACGAGGCCATGTGGCCCAGAAGGACAAGGCATGTTCTTATGGTGGTAATTGGAAAGGCCCTGAGACGTTGAATGACGCTTGAGATGGTATGAAATCGGCTGTCTGGCAGTGTGGCTCGGGCATGTCTGGAGTCGAGGATTGCTCCAATGAACTCTATCCTCTGAGTTGGTACTAGAGTGGACTTCTCTCTGTTGAGTAGAATGCCCAGCTCGTGGAAAGTGTTTGTCACTATGTGGACATGAGCCTGCACTTGGCCTCTGGTGCGGCCGCGTACCAGCCAGTCGTCCAAGTACGGGAACAGTTGTATCCCTTGTCGACGGAGGAAGGCCGCGACGACTGCCAGACACTTCGTGAACACCCTGGGAGCCGAGGACAAGCCGAAGGGAAGGACTGCGAATTGGTAGTGTACCCTGTTTACCACGAATCGCAGGAAACGTCTGTGGGGCGGATAAATTGCTATGTGAAAATAAGCGTCCTTCATGTCGAGGGCGGCGAACCAGTCTCCAGGATCCAGTGAAGGGATAATGGTCCCCAATGACACCATGCGGAACTTCAACTTTACTATGAATTTGTTGAGTCCGCGTAAGTCTAAGATGGGCCGTAGACCCCCTTTTGACTTGGGTATCAGGAAGTAGCAGGAGTAAAACCCCCTGCCCCTTAGCTCCGATGGAACCTCCTCTATGGCCCCCATAGCGAGGAGCCCAAGAACCTCCTGTGTAAGGAGTTGCTCGTGAGAAGGGTCCCTGAAGAGGGACGGGGAGGGGGAGTGGAAGGGGGGAGGGCGAGGAAAACTGGAGGGCGTATCCCCTCTCCACCGTGCGAAGGACCCAACGGTCCGAGGTTATACGGGACCAAGCACGGTGGAAACGGGAGAGGCGATCCCGGAAGGGGGGAACCGGATCCTGGAAAGTGGCTAAGGTGCCGTCCTCGACCGCACCTTCAAAAGGCTTGCCTAGGCCCAGAAGGTGGCCTAGGTTGGCCCTGGTTTTGACCGGTTTGCGGGCCGGTCGACCTTCGCCTACCACCTCGACCCCGCCTCCTAGCAAAGTCCTGTCTTGGACGAGGCGGGGGAGGGTAGAACCGCTGAGGCTGCGGCCTGAAGGGCCTGCGCTGAGGCCCTGGGACATGCATCCCCAGGGAGCGCATCATTGTTCGAGAGTCCTTAAGGTTTTGGAGCCTCGAGTCTGTTTTCTCTGAAAAGAGGCCCTGTCCCTCGAACGGTAGGTCCTGCAGGGTCTGCTGCAGTTCCGGAGGCAAGCCCGACACCTGGAGCCAGGAGATTCGGCGCATTGCTATCCCGGAAGCCAGGGTCCTAGCGGCCGAGTCCGCTATATCAAGGGACGCCTGTAGGGAGGTGCATGCCACCCGCTTGCCCTCCTCTACCAGGGCCCCGAACTCGTCCCTCGAGTCCTGGGGAACCAGTTCTTTAAATTTCCCCATCGAGGACCACATATTGAAGCCGTAGCGGCTCAGGAGCGCCTGCTGGTTCGCTGCCCGCAATTGCAGTCCGCCAGCCGAATAAACCTTGCGTCCAAACAAATCGAAGCGCTTAGCATCCTTCGATTTGGGCGCAGCGGCCTGCTGGCCATGGCGCTCCCGTGCATTCACTGAGGAAACCACCAGTGAGCACGGTTGGGGGTGAGTGTACAGATACTCATGTTCCCTGGAAGGGACGAAGTATTTTCTCTCAACCCCTCTGGCCGTGGGCGGAATAGAGGCCGGGGTCTGCCAGATAGTAGTGGCGTTGGCCTGGATGGTGCGGACCAGCGGTAATGCCACCCTGGATGGAGCATCCGCTGAAATGATCTGCACTATTGGGTCATGGACCTCCGCAATCTCCTCCACCTGGAGGTCCAGATTGCGAGCCATGCGCCGCAGCAGGTCCTGATGGGCCCGAAGGTCTATCGGAGGCGGCCCGATGGTGGACGTGCCCGCTACGGCCTCATCAGGAGAGGACGAGGAAGATGCCCCCGGTGGCAAGGGGTCCAATGGTTGGTCCTGCTCCAGGTGTTCCTGGTGTTGGGCATCTCCTGCCCCCTGGTCAGGGGCCGCTGCAGGTGCGGGCACTGGAGCCTCCACGTCCCTTGGAGGAGGGCGGGAGATGGTAGACTCTGGGGCCCTGGTGTCCGAACGGCCAGAGCGGGAAGCCGACAGGGGAGCTCCTCGTGCTTGGTGGTAGGCCCAAGGAGTCCAAAAGGACCAATGCGCAGGTCCTTGCATCGGGTCATCGGTCTCCTGCAGGTGGCCGGGCTCCACAGTTTCAGATGACCGGGACGCCGATCTCGACGGCCACGGCGGTGCCGAACCCGATGCCGTCGGCACCGGATGGTACGGTGCCGATCGGTGCCGACCGTAAGGGGACCTGTCCCTGTGTTGTTCCGGCGAACGGTGCCGGGACCTGGAGCGGTGCCGATAGTCCCTCCGGTGCCGGGATCCCGATCTGGAACGTGACGACGATCTGGAGGAGGCGTGGTACCGGAAGCGGCCTCTCGAGCCCGAGTGGCGCTCATACCGGTGCCGAGAGCTGCGCCTCGACCCCGATCGGTGCCGGTCGTCACGGCGGTGCCGGGATGTTGAACGGCGCCGCGAAGAAGATCTGGGCCGCGAGTACGACCGGTGCCGAGGTGACACTCGGCGCCGGGACTCAGAGCGGCGTCGGGACCTGCTTCGGGATCTGGAGCGGTACCGAGAGACTTGTGCTGGCGACGGTGGGCGCACCAGGGCAGGTTTCCCTCTGGACTGCAGCACACGTGGCGCTACCGGTGCCGGGAGTTGCGACGGCGCCGGCTCAGTGAGGGCGATCAGGTCTCTCGCGGTAGCGAAGGTCTCCGGGGTGGAAGGGAGACAAGGTTCCACCACCAGCCTTGGTGGTGAAACAGTCCGCACCGGACTCAACGGCCTCGGTGCCGGAGTCGACGGTGTGGCCGCCTGTCTTTGGCGGTCCAGCTGCGGACGCAGCTCTACCCCTGGCACCGGGGGAGCCGGTACCTTCGCGGCAGCAACGTCCCGTGTCTTAGCGGTCTTCTTGTGGCCCGGAGAGATGGATCGGTGCCGAGGCTCTTTGGGCGGGCGCGGTGCCGACGTCGGTCGGTGCCGAACAGTCTTTTCTGCTGCACCGGTCGGGCCCGCCGGGGCGCTGCGCACCGAAGCGCTCGGTGCCGGGACAGGGCGCGCCGAGGGAGGATCCGGACTCAGAGCCGCCTCCATGAGGAGCTGTCTGAGCCTAAAGTCCCGCTCCTTCCTTGTCCTCGGCTTGAAGGCCTTGCAGATAGGGCACTTATCTGCTGGATGAGTCTCTCCCAGGCACTTCAGACAAGAACTATGCGGGTCGCTGGTTGGCATGTGCTTCCCGCAGGACGCGCACGGCTTAAAGCCAGGAGCCTTGGGCATGGGCCCGGCTGTGCGCCGGGGGGAAAAAGGGGAAAACACCCCCTCAACCCCCGATAACAATATACAACTATATATATATACACTATACACTAACTACTAACTAACTTGAACAACTATCTATATAACTAACTATAACAAGAGCAATGAGAAGCTAGGGAGTGTGGAGATCAGCTAAGCCGCGCTCCACAGTTCCAACGACCGTCAGGGGCGGTAAGAAGGAACTGAGGGGGCGCTGGGTCGGCTGGGGTATATATCCAGCGCCATAACGGCGCCACTCTAGGGGGCTCCACAGCCGACCCACGGGGTGTTGCTAGGGTAAAAATCTTCCGACGATCGTGCACGCGGCGCGCACACACCTAACTGGAATGGATATGAGCAAGCACTCGAAGAAGAACCAGGGCCTTTCAGACAGGTGACTTTTCTGATGGTAAGTAAATACTGCTTGCCTTTTAAAGCCTATTCATATTTTTTAGCTTCTCTCAAACTTCTTATCCGAAAAAGGTAAAAGCCACGTATTAACACGACATCTCACATCTCTTCCGGGGGGAAACAGGGAACAGTCAGTAAGCAAGGGGAGCCTGAGCATATCACCCTTCTTCGTAGCCAGACTGTGGGTCCACGTTTAGTTCACTTCCCCTAATGGCAACATTTTAAAATGTTAAGTCACACTGAGGACTTAAGGGAACTATAACTCATGATTGGCAGTCCCAATACATGATCATTGTTTGACACCACCTGAGAATGAACTGAAAATATACTAACTATACCATATTATACTATACTGTGTCTGGTATGGAGAATTGTCATCTTCATCTCTAGGGGACGCGAGGTGCCAAGTGGCTCAGTGGTTAGAAAAGGCATCTTTGGGACTACTTTGAGGTAGTTTTTCCCTACGTCCCAGAGACATTGGACACCACCAAGGTTCAGGAGTGAGGGGATTTCCCAGTAAAGGTGATAACATGTAGGCAGAAGTATGAGTCCTTCATCCAAGGGTCTCATACTGTAGACTGTGCTCCACAGGGAATTGGCCGGCCATACAGTGCTGACTCCTCCTTTCCAGGCTGCTAAATCACAGTACGAGTTTAAAAGTCATTCAGCACTTTCTTCAGGTTACTTTGCTATGTCAGTGATCGCTATCGTTGCCCCAGGGATGTTATTCAGCTGTTAATGGGAGGAAGCAGTCTGTGCAGGTGTTCATGAAACAATCTACATACTGAAATGTGGTCCACATCCTGAAAAGGCATGGGCACCTGTCCCATGGATCCTATCCCTACCGTGTTTGGGGATAAGTCCAGGAAGTGGCTTGCAGGCCCTAAATGGAGATTTACCTTTGTAATTCTAAGAATCTGTAGGGCCTAATCCTCAGTGATGAAGCTATAAGCCATATGTACTTCTTTTGGCCAGCACTTTTGGGGTGATATCTGTCATTTATTGCACTGGGGTTTACCATGTATTAAGCCAACATCTAGCGGTTCTCCAACTTTTCCATTCTTCAGACCACTCTGAGGGACATTGCCCCACATCCCCTTAGCCCTCCAGGGCTTGGGTCTCCAAAGCTTTCGACCTCCAGGATGGGCTCTGCAGACCACTAGTGGCTCAGCACTAGCTCCAGGATTTTGGCTCTTTGAAGGGTTGGGGTATGCTGAGGAATTGCCATGCTGTGTAACGTCAATGTTACTCTTACGGAAAGACGGCAGACTGATCAGATGCTAGAAAGTTTTCAGTAGCATTACTAATCCTTCCGGTGCATTCTGTCTGCTGTGCTAAGTGTCACAGTATGTCTCCCACACAGAAGTTGGAAGAGAAGCTAGAATACTGGATGGAGAAGTATGAAAAGGACACGGAAGCTAAACAGCAAGAACTGAACACTCTAAAAGCATCCAAGGCAAATGATTTAGCAGCACTGCAGGAACTAGCCAAGCAGGTATGAGATCAGCAGTGGACTAAAGGATTCAGTGAACCAGCATTTCACTGCCCAGGCAGCATCCCAAAAGCTGGGCCCTGGGCACTTCCCCACCCTCACTCTTTTCATTCACCCAGAACAAGGGAAGAGAACTACGGGAGAGAAAAGATTGAGTAACCCAAGGAGCTGTTCAATAGAATAGGCAGGAACAACACAGCAAGTGGTGTCAGGAGGGAGCCACAGGGGGCATGAATCCTCTGTTCTCTGCATGTGACTCTGGTCAAGAAATGCCATTGTTGGTGTACGAGAGTGGCAAGTAACTGAAGGGCTTTTGTGAGGGGCAAGGGAGGACAAACTTCCTTCCCAATGTGTGCCTCACCTTGGGTCACACAAGCTATTGCTAGTCCGGGGGAGAGGGGCTCCGTGGAATTTTAACCCGCTTGCTAGCGACCGCTGGCGGTGCAGACTAAGGGCTATCTCTGAGGGCTTGTCGGCTGCCCTGCAGTTCGGACTGTGGGGGCATGAATAGCAGTGGCACCAAAGTGCTGCGTGTAATTCCCCACCCCCCCGTGGGCATTAACTAAAGGGTTATTGTAGGTGTTGTAATGATGCTCACTCTGAACCCTGGTAACACCCTGTTAAACAGAAAGCTCTGATGACAATGTTCCTGGAGAATCTCTCAACAAAATCTCACTGGTGTAATGATTGTTCTGTTTCCGATATTTACATGGCAAGGATTTGTAAACATGTGAAAACTTCCTAAAGAAGTAGTTTAACAAAAAGGTTCCTAGTTCACATGAACATAGTCCTGTTGAAGAGGGTTACACTAGTGCACACTATTTGTCCCCACCCTGGTAGTCAGAACTGCGGGGCAGTGTAGACATAGCTTGTTTACTGAGTTCTAAGCGCCTGCTGGTGGAGTTAGAGGACACTCAACTCCTTGCCCCGTCGAGCAACCCATCTTCCATTCTGCATGTAAAACGTAGGTCAGTTGTCATCCCTGTGTCCCAATCATTCTGCCACGTCCCCATGTGCTCGGGGTGACGTGCTACCAACACCTGTTCCACCAGAAGCCAGACAAGACACTTTCTGCAGCAGAACATCAGGAGGTTCAATATGTTCAGGCAGTGAATGGGGCAACTTACAGGTTTATGATGGGGAACACAGTTATAGGCAGCATTTGCACTGCAGAGCTGGGACAGCCCACAGGGAAAGGAACCGAGGGAGAAAGGCCCGTGGCTTGCACATCCGCCCCCATGGCGTAGCTATGAGGGACAAGCCTTGTTCAGGGAGCTCCTGAATTCAAAGACATCATGATGCCCTCAGTCCATTTCTAAAGCGAAGCATGTTCTAGAGCGTCTCCGTGCATTTCTGCAGTGCCAGTTATTTGAACAAGTCATCGTCGAGGATCGGGTGGAAAAGGAGGCAGCAAGAAGGAAGGTAGAGCAGGATGCGTTGGAATTAAAGAGCGTCAAGAAGGTAAAAGGGAAAGTGCTACCAGTGATATGGCTCATGAATTATCTGTACGCGAGGGGGCTCCTTTCAGTCAGCAACACGTACTGAAAGGTTTGCCCAGCATGGCCTGGGATTGGCAAGCGCCGCCATTGGGGTGGGGAGAAGAGAGGTGTCTGCCGCATGTCCAAGCTGCTGTTTGTTCTCCCCACCCTTCTCGTCCCTTCCTGGGTAGAACAGCCACAAAGTTAATAGTCACCTACTGAATCAGGAAGGAAATAAAGGGAAAGTCTTGGCTCCCAGAGTGAAGATTTGGGGGCCTTTTGTCCATCACACCATCTGTGCAGCAAGGATGACGCCACAGAGGGAGGGTTGCAGTGTAATCCCTTCCATCAGTACAAGAACCGCCCACCACCTAGTGACTACACAGGCCAGGAAGTACAGGGGAGGAGCCCAACCTGCTACAGCTTAGGACATTGGTCCCTTTACAGCAGGTGCCACAGTCTACACTGTACCTGGCGGCCTTCTTGCTTTCAAGCTGCCTCCCACTGGCCTTTCACAGGGTTTGTTGCGGGGCCACTGGTACTGGGTTTCTTTTGAATGTGGTTAAGAAAAGTAGCGTTGAAGTACTTGCTGAGAACAAGTACGGGCATGTCGGAAACGGTGGGTGATGGGAGTACCGATTACATGTGCAGTCCCAGCATAGGTGGGCAACTGCGTGTGCACATCAGACTTTTAGAAAATGCGGCCCCAAGAGCTAATGAGAGAAGATTTAAAGATGACCTGCAAAAGGAAGGCAAGTGGCGTTGGGCCCGTTGTTTGCTTCTTTATGACAGTTTGGGTTTTAAGGGGGCCATTTAGGGAACTGGGGTAAAAATCTGTCTGGGGATTGGTCCTGCTTTGAGCAGGGGGTTGGACTAGATGACCTCCTGAGGTCCCTTCCAACCCTGATGTTCTATGATTCTATGTGAACATACAGGTCTGTCGCATCTTAGGCGCATTTAACATGTGCGATTTCAGCTTTACACGGTCGGCAAAACCAAAACAAAAAAAAAAAAAAAAAGAGAAAAACAACAATTTAAATACTGTTTCTGTAGTGCGGGCGATTCCGCCTGCCATTACACTCAATGTAATTTTGACTACAGGCGATTTTCGCTTTAGGCGCTGACTGCGGAACGTAACCCCAGCGTAAGATGAGACAGACCTGTACCATATATTTAATTTGAGGCAGAAAAAATCAGGAACACTTAGTCAGGCCTTTTCTGCTGTTGCCGAAAGGACTCACTGGAGTCTCCTCCACTCTAGGCTGTTACTTGAATAAAACACTGAGCTAGCAATTGAGCAGGGTGCAGCCCGTAAACTAGCGTACAAAGCAGCTAGTCTATAATCTAGACTGCATGGAAATCTATCAAGGGGTTTTCTGTAGCACCCATCACCTTAGTATCTAAGCTAGGGGTCAGCAACCTTTCAGAAGCGGTGTGCCGAGTCTTCACTTATGTACTTTAACTTAAGGTTTTGCGTGCCGGTAATACATTTTAACGTTTTTTAGAAGGTCTCTCTCTATGTCTATATTATATAACTAAACTATTGTTGTATGTAAAGTAAACACGGTTTTCAAAATGTTTAAGAAGCTTAATTTAAAATTAAATTAAAATGCTGATCTTATTCCGCCGGCCCACTCAGCCCGCTGCCGGCCTGGGGTTCCATTCACCTAGTTCGGCAGCGGGCTGAGCGGGGCCTGTGGAACCCCGGCTGGCAAGGGACCGGCAGCCGGGACCCCAGACTGGGGGTGCAGGTGGGAATTGGCGGGGGGGTTGCAGGAGCTCTTGTTTGGTGTTCAGAGTGGTGATGTGGGGGGGTGCAAGTGTCAGGGCATGGGGTGTGGGGGGGCTGGGTATGTGTGGGGGGTGCAGGAGTCAGAACGGGGGCTGGAGGTGTGTGAGGGGATGCAGGGGTCAGGGCAGAGGGCTGGGTGTGTGTAGGGATGCAGGGGTCAGGGCAGAAGGCTGGGTGTGTGTGAGGGCGTTCAGGGCAGAGGGCTGGGTGTGTGTGTGTGGGGGGTTCATGGGTCAGGGCAGAGGGCTGGGTGTGTGTAGGGATGCAGGGGTCAGGGCAGAAGGTTGGGTGTGTGTGAGGGCGTTCAGGGCAGAGGGCTGGGTGTGTGTGTGGTGGGGGTTCATGGGTCAGGGCAGAGGGCTGGGTGTGTGTAGGGATGCAGGGGTCAGGGCAGAAGGCTGGGTGTGTGTGTGGGGGGTTCATGGGTCAGGGCAGAAGGCTGGGTGTGTGGGGGGAGGGGTTCAGGGGTCAGGGCAGAGGACTGGGGTGCTCGGCTCGTGCGAGTGCTCACGGCAGGGGGCTGGAGGGGATATGCCCCGTTCCCACCCCTTTCCCAGGGCCCTGTCCCCACCTCTTCTCTGCCTCCTTCCAGGAGCAGCGAGCACACTGTGGCTCGGCTCGGCTCCCCCTCCCCCTCGCAAGGGTGATCAGCTGATCGGCGGCAGGGAGTGGGAGGGGCAGGAAAGCACCACGCTGGGGGAAGAAGCAGGGGAGGGGGAGCTTGGCTGCCGGGAAGACCAAGCTTCTGCCTGCTGCCCCCGCAGGAGAAATCGGTGGGCAGGGGGGCTGAGTGGGGCCAGGACCCCGGCAGGCAGCAGCGTGCCATCAAAAATCGGCTCGCGTGCTGCAGGTTGCCGACCCCTGATCTAAGCACTTAGGTTTGGAATGTTTCCAAGGCAAAGAGTTGGCGCATACGGAGCCAGTGCTGAGGATCGCACTGGCAGCCGGCACCAGGCTGCTGGCCTAGGAGACGCTGGCAGACAGACTTAGGGCGGGATCCAGGCTCCGGCACTCCCAGCGGGTGCCTCGAGGAGGCTGGAGATCAGAACGTGTCACAGAGCAGTATTCCCTGGCACTCTCGGGTTCACCATTCGGATTTTCTTGTAATGTTTTTACATAAATGTAACATCAGACAACCAGAAAGCCCGTCCCTTTTCCCACAGCACTGAGCCAATGGGGCGTACTTGATACCCCCTAGAGGGGGAGGCATGTCGCGATGGCAGCTGACTTCCCCAAGACCAGCCACTCTGAACAGGGGAGAGTCTGACTCTTGCTTTGGAAAACTAACTCTCCTTCTTTCCTGCTTCCAGCTACAGGCCTGGTGGAGAGGCACAATGGTTCGCCATAACATCGGCCCCTATAAGGCCCTCAAGAAGTCTAAAGAGGACGAGCCAAAGGGCAAAGACAAAGGGAAAAAGGGAAAAGCTGGAGCTAAGAAAAAGAAGTGACGGCCATAGACTCCTGCTCTCATTAGACCCACAGGGCCCTGGACGTTTGGGCTCTCGTCAGGGCGGAACACTGGCTTGTGTGCACAGAGTAAGGAATAAAGCACTCAGCAGAGTTCTGGGCCAGGCTGGAGTTCATTTTCTTGACAGGAAGGAGTTTCAGATGAAGTTTCTTGCACAGGTCTGACCTCTCCAGCTCAAGGTAACTAGAGCTTAGCAATCCGCTACTGCCATTTTTAACCTGCCTTGCGCTGAGCGCACACATTATCCCCTGAGAGCACAGGAAGCTGGAGCGATATCGCCCTCAAGCTTTTTCTGCAGCCTTAAACTAATTAGTCATCTGGGTATAATTCACACCCTGTTCGCAAGCTTGAAAATGCAGCTGTATGAAAGGCGCTGTGCACTCGAACATTCACCACTTCTCCCCGTCACTGCGCTGGCAATGGTTGAAATGCTAGGGTGGTCTGGGGGCACTCGTCCTTCACCACTGTTATGGCTAATGCCACTCAGCAGGTCTAGACAGCTTGGTGGCCGTCACTCACAGCTGGTCTTGGGTGGGGCTTCCGTTGTTATTGCCAGTGCTAGATCAATGGTAGGAGAACTGCTCAAGATTCTCAGTGTAGATGGAGCCTTGTTCAGAGTGTTTGTGTTTCCATTCTCACAGTCCTCCTGCCAGAAGTCCCTGTAGCCCTGCAGGAGATAAGGAAAGAATCATGCCCTAGTGAGGTGTAACCGTGGGGAGGTAACGGAATGTCCTTGGTACAGAGCAAGACATCCTTTGGCATCTGGTACCGGAGAGCTGCTCTCTCAAACCCCAGAGTGCAGTGAAGTGATGACAGCCTGGTTGTTACCTTGAAAGAGAATTGGGGGTGGGGGGAAGGCAGAGTTCTGCTCTGTTATCCCCGCTGTGGGTCCAGTCCTTTGAAATGAGATTGTACTGCAATCCGTGTACACAGTGGAAACAACCAACAGTGTAAAACCGCAGAGGGGCTGAGGGGGGTTGGGGTTTTTTAATACTCCCACACTGAAAGAGACGGATCAGAGGCTGTTTTCACTCTGAGACCATTTAAGAGCGGTATCAGGAGCGTGTAGCTGTCCAAATACATTCACATCGGAGAGTCAAAGTGTGCCAAAAGTTCTCTTAAGATCAAGCAAAAGTACTTCAACTGCAAGTGGCAAAGCTGTTGGGCTTTGAATTCTGAGAGCTCAGTGGTGGCTGGAATCTGGAGTTTATTCTGCGTTAATATACCATGGAAGCGACAGTGGCTTTCTGAAAATTCACACACGTCAGGCAAGCTGGAGTTACAATCATTGGCATCATTACTCTACGTTAATCAGGAAGCACTCCCTTTTCAGTCACTGATCCCAAATGAGAACACATTGTAACTTGTCTTCCTCATGCCACATTGGGGCAAGAACAGGCCTTACTCCTGGATGTTTACGTCACACGTCTGCACTAGGCGCCTCACAGCAACCGCTGCAGTTAAGTTTAATTTTAACTCCCAATTTTCAGGCGCTCAGAACATTTAGAAACATTTCATTTTGAGGCTAAAATTGTCCAGGCTTGGTCTGTGCTGACAGGTGATTTTTATTTATTTATTTTATTGTGAAATTTGAGCAAAATCCCTTCAGACATATGAGTTATGGAAAAGGAGGGAAAATGCACTTTTCCTATTGTAAAAAAAAAATCCTAACCACACCTTTTTAGACAGCTCCAGCACAAAGAGCTGAAGTTTGAAACAGCCTGGGCAGGATGGTGAGTAGGGATTAGCACCTTTGCTTGCTTCGGGGCAACAGGTGAGTGAAAAATCACTTCTCATTCTAAGGACATTGTCTGTTCCGGAGCTTCACTTCTGGGCTCCAGTTCCTTAGCATGAATCCAGTGGCACTGCCTTGGCTCTTCCAAGGTTTTTGACCCTTGAGGATTACTGTAGTGGGGTACACTGCAAGCCAGTGGGTATCACATGGTAGGTACTAGATGTAAATTACATGCAAAGCCCCCATTTGTGTGACCCAGCTGCAGTGAATTATGATGCAAACTGGAAAGGAGGCAGTAATGGTGGTTATGAAATTATCCAGTTATCACTTTTAGTGAAATGGTTCTGACTATGTCTCAAAAGGGAAAACATCCATAAATACCAGAATCCACTCCAATTATAACGTTAGTTTGTTTCTGAAATTAGGAGGACATTTTAAATGTCAGTTAAAGGAACAATAACATTGGGTTTGTGTTCATTTGTGGAGGGTAAATGGGGCCTGGATGGTTTTCATCAAAAAAGCATCCTCTCCCCACACTTTGCTGTTTCTTATCAAACATACCCTGGGAGACTCCATGGTAACTGGAAAACTAATAAAATTAAGGAGTGAAAATTAAGCAAATGAGAGGAGAAAGGGTCTTTAGTCAGACTGCTTAGAAGTGGGTGTTTTAGCCTTGTTAGCGTTTATAAATCAAATGCCGAATGAACACTTGATTTTGTTAACAACTCAACACTCCTGCCTCTCAGCTGGTGTAAGAGCTCACAATACACAAGGAGCTGCAAGAGGTCCACCAAAAGCTGGGGAGATCAGCCTTTACATTCATATTTTTCTAATGTTTCTAATGTAAAAAAGGCAGAAAATTTTAAGAAAGTTCAGACCTCCTCTATACATTTAAAGGACATAAATCTGATCAAGCATCTCTTCCAGTGAGCCAAATGCTTAGCAGCCCCCCAGGGCGGCTGCCTACCCATTCTCCACTGTTTGGAAGGTAGAACTGGGACAGACCGTGGCAGAGAGGGCTGAAGCACTGTCATAGGGCTGTGGGGGGAGGTTACGGTCATCCAGGTCTAACAGGAGAGGAACAGAGCTCAAGCTCCGACAGGGCTTCTTACAAATTCCTCAAAGCAGCTGCCTTCCCAGCTCCAGAGATGATCTCCTGCTGGGCAGCGCTTCTGAGCCCCACAGAGCAGTGCCCTGCTCCAAAGTAACTTAAGAGCCACAAGGGCACCCTCCCTCCATCCCCGATGCCAGTACTTCAGTCAGGGCTGCCCTGTCTCTTTCTGAGAGAAGATCTGGAGGGCCAGCTCATTCCTCACTGCTTGCTGTTCTGAGTTGTGAACCATCTCCCCCCCGCCTCCCGCTCTGCCCTTTGGTAAGGCAGCAGAACAGGAAACCCGCTGAACTTCCCCATTGTTTGGTGAAACAGACCCAGAGGAGAGTCAAATGGGTAAGTGGACAAGTTGAGCTGCCCAGAAAAGTAGCCATTTTGGTGGAGTTTGGCATCGGAACCTGGATGTGTGCACAGCTTGGCAAAAAATAAGATAGTAGCACCGGAGGGCCGCCCAGTGCCACTAATAGGAGTAGCTGTTTTGGTGGCTGCTCACTTGCATTACACACAGGCCAGGACTTTGGATACTCCCCAGTAATTTGGAGGGGAGGAAGTTCTGGGTCTGAGGGTTGAGATTAGTGACACAGGTTTGTGGAATGATTCCATACTAAGTTCCATATTTGGAAGATTTGCCTTGAGGTAGATTTGCGGGGACTTAACAACATCAGTTCCCTGACAGTGACTGTCTGATATGTCAGAGTGAATCTCCTGAGGGGAAGCTAAAGGTTCCCCAAGTGTCAAAGCCAAATGTTGCTAGGTTATAACTCCAGCAAAGAAGGGTCAAAACCAAAACGACCTCTCCAGTTTTGTTGGAAAAAATTCAGACCCTGCAATTTTAAGTGGAGAGGTGAAAGGGATGCTGCTTTGCGGCTCAGAGGACCAGCGTGCCCAAGTATCACCCAATAGAGATCAAATGGAGCAGTGTAGCTCTTTGAACTGGTGGTCAGTATATACTGCATCAGAGCAGAAAGGAAATGCTGACTCGGCTAAAAGACTGTTTCGCCTCGAAACATCAATAGCGACTAAAGGTGCTTAATTAAATACTGTAGTCAGGGGAGTTTGGAAGATATAACAAGCTTCTCCATGATCCATAAACAAACCCATATGCTTTACAGCCATCAGGTGCCTTGTGCCATGAAGCAGCTGCAGACTCAAGCTGTTCAAGTCCATACAATACATATTTAACAATTGTTGGCCTCTGCACTCTCGTACCTATCTGCCGTGCACACAACATGCTGCTTTCTCGGGTGACGGTCTTCCATTGACAAAGACGTTAATAAGCTTCACACCTAATTCCCACACAAACTCTAAGGCAGGAGTTAAGGCTGCAGGCATATATTAGTGATTTGAATTAGGGCTGTCAAGCGATTAAAAAAATTAATCATGATTAAAATAATTAATTGTTATTAATTGAGCTGTTAAACAATAATATAATACCATTTATATAAATATTTTTGGATGTTTTCCGCATCTTCAAATATATTGATTTCAATTACAACACAGAATACAAAGTGTACAGTGCTTATTATAAATATCTGTACTGTAAAAATAAAAAATAGTAGTTTTAAATTTATCTAATACAAGTACTGTAGAGCAATCTCTATCATGAAAGTTGAACGTATAAATGTAGAGTTATGTACAAAAAAAACCTGCATTCAAAAATAAAACAACGTAAAACATTAGAGTCTACAAGTCCACTCAGTCTTATTCTTGTGCTGCCAATCGCTCAAACAAAGAAATTTATTTACATGTGCAGGAGATAATGCCCGCTTCTTGTTTACAATGTCACCTGAAAGTGAGAACAGGCGTTCGCATGGCAGTGTTGTAGCCAGCGTTGCAAGATATTTACGTGCCAGATGCGCTAAAGATTCATATGTCCCGTCATGCTTCAACCACCATTCCAGAGGACATGCGTCCATGCTGATGATGGGTTCTGCTCGATAACAATCCAAAGCAGTGTGGACTGATGCATGTTCATTTTCATCATCTGAGTCAGATGCCACCAGCAGAAGGTTGATTTTCTTTTTTGGTAGTTCGGGTTCTGTAATTTCCGCATCGGAGTGTTGCTCTTTTAAGACTTCTGAAAGCATGCGCCACACCTCCTCCCTCTCAGATTTTGGAAGGCACTTCAGATTCTTAAACCTTGGGTCAAGTGCTGTAGCTATCTTTAGAAATCTCACATCGGTACCTTCTTTACGTTTTGTCAAATCTGCAGTGAAAGTGTTCTTAAAACGAACAACATGCTGGGTCATCATCCGAGACTGCCATAACATGAAATATATGACAGCATGTGGGTAAAATACAGAGCAGGAGACGTACAATTCTCCACCCAAGGAGTTCAATCACAAATTTAATTAACGCGTTATTTTTTTTAGCAAGCATCATCAGCATGGACGCATGTCCTCTGGAACGGTGGTTGAAGAATGAAGGGGCATACGAATGTTTAGTGCATCTGGCACGTAAATATCTTGCAATGCTGGCTACAACAGTGCCATGCGAACGCCTGTTCTCACTTTCAGGTGACATTGTAAATAAGAAGTGGGCAGCATTATCTCTCATAAATATAAACAAACTTGTTTCTCTTAGCGATTGGCAGAATAAGAAGTAGGACTGAGTGGACTTGTAGGCTCTAAAGTTTTACATTGTTTTGTTTTTGACTGTAGTTATGTCACAAAAAAGTCTGCATTTGTAAGCTGCACTTTCACGATAAAGAGATTGCACTACAGTACTTGTATGAGATGAATTGAAAAAATATTTTTTCTTATAATTTTTACAGTACAAATATTTGTAATAAAAATAATATAAACTGAGCACTGTACACTTTGTATTCTGTGTTTTAACTGAAATAAATATATTTGAAAATATAGAAAAACATCCAAAATATTTAATACATTTCAATTGGTATTTTATTGTTTAACAGTGCGATTAAAACTGCCATTAATCGTGATTAATTTTTTTAATCGCGATTAATTTTTTAATTAATCGCGTGAGGTAACTGCGATTAATCGACAGCCCTAATTTGAATGTATATTTCTGAACATAGAGTTTAAAAATACAACTGTTAGAAACCTGGGAAATGAATTGATAAGGCTGCATGTTTCTCAGAAAGCAGCCAGTAATTTTGTTGCTATTAAATTATTGTTATTACACAGGTGCCATGGAAACAGAATCCACATCAGAATTGGTGATTGGGGCAGAGGACTGAGGTCAGGAAATCCCGTAATTTCTAAGCTGGGTATTTCGGAGCTGGGTATTACCCACTTTTTACAGATGTGAAACCTGAAGCACAGTGAAGCGGCTCGCCCAACGTCATACAGCAGATCAGTGGCCGAATGGCTCAGGATGGTATTAGTCATGAGACAAGCAGTGTCATTTTTAGGCTACTTGATCAAATTCAGCCTACTTTAGTAAGCAGCTGAAAGTTAACATACAATGACTTTTCAGTGACCTATATAAAATGACATGGAAGGTCTCCATGTAGTTCTCAGCAGACAAGTATCTATGGCACAAAACCACCACCACCAAACCGCAGCCATACAGACTGTTACAACTTAGCAGAGACATCAAGGACTAAACGGAGAGTCAACTATTCTCTCAGCCCAGCAATAGCTCCCCAGGTCCGAGTGAAGATCAGGACACGGAGGGGAAGATTACACTACTCCTGCTCACCTGCAATACTTATCTGTAGATAAAAATGGAGGACTTCACTCTTCAGGGCTGCCAATTCTGTTGCTTGACTCAGTATTAAAGTTCATCAACACATTTTAAACGTTTTAAAAGAAATGAAGCCAAGAAGTTCTTGGTGCAAGGAGAGGAAGACTTACTATTGCTGGGAAAAGGTTGTCAACACTTCACCTAGAACAATCTAAATTAAAGACTCAGGGATTATTATTATAAATGGAGATATCCTATCTCCTAGAACTGGAAGGGACCTTGAAGGTCATTGAGTCCAGCCCCCTGCCTTCACTAGCAGGATCAAGTACTGATGTTGCCCCAGATCCCTAAGTGGCCCCCTCAAGGATTGAACTCACAACCCTGGGTTTAGCAGGCCAATGCTCAAACCACTGAGCTAGCCCTCCCCCCAACTGGGATGCACCAGTTCTATAGCCAACTCTGCCTGTGAGCTCTAAGGGACCTCGTCTCCACCACTTGTCTACATCCCCAACAATAAGATGGATGCTTGACGGACAGAAGATAAAGCACCTGCCTTGAAAGTCTTACAGTATTACATGTAAAAATGCAAGGAAACAGAGTGCAACAAAGAGCTGCAAGAGTGAAAGATGGGAGTCTAGCATGGTTCTTAGCACAGCCACCATTTTTGTTTGGATTTTGCAGGGGAAGATCAGGCATCCAAAACTAAAACTTCTCCATGTGGAAGGGGGAATAGGCCTTCTGGAGGAAGTGTGTTTGAAGGAGGCACACAGAGGAACAGGTGTGAGCCTCGTAGGGCAGTCAAGAAGAGATGCCAGGTATAGAGGGCCAGAGACAGCATGAAGAATGGACTGTGGTATGGGAGGTCAAATTAGATGATCTGGTGGTTAATCTCTTCTGGCCTTAAACTCTATGACTGGCTGAGAGAAGATCACACAAGGGCTGATTAAGTCATGAGGCTGGGGCAGGGCAGAGGGAGGCCGGACCCAAGCTGTACAGGGTCCTGAAGGTGAAAACACGGAGCCTGAAAACTGATGCAAAAGTTAAGAGGCAGTTGGTCAAGGGATCTGAAGAGTGGATCTGGAGTGGGGGACACGGCCGATGTGGTAGCACTGTGGACCAACCGGAGGTGGAGTGGGAGGGAGAGCAGCATGTATGAAGCAAGGTAGGAAGTTCTATGGCTGCTAGCAACTTTTAGGCCTCTCACTTGTTTGCTGTAAACTCTAGTTATGAGGGAGGAAGGAAAGGAGGAACAAACATTTTGTGCCATCGGAAAAACTTTCCTATTATTGAGGGGAACACTGGTGCAAACTTCACAGAATTGAAAACTAGACAGGATAAATAACATGAGAACATAATACAGAGAGCAGCTGTGCACTGGCTGTGGCTAACAGCCCATGTGACCTAAGAAGTATTTTCCACCACTAACTTCTAAGAATGAACAGGGGAGCTGATTCTGAGGAACACTATAGTTACTCTCAGGGGCAGGGGCTAGAAAGGCTGCAGAGAAACAGTTTCTGATTACATCTGCTGAAAGAAACATACTGAGTGCAAACATACACAGTCTCCTACTCTGGCCCTTGGGTCGTTATGCTGAAAGAACAATTTTTCCTATACCAAGCTCCTAAGAAGACCAGAACAAACATCCCGTTCTCTTAATAAATGTGACAATTCAGAAAGTAAATACACACTTGATACACAGGAACTGACAATCACTGATGCAAATATAAAAATACAAGGAGAAAGAAATATTTCAGTTCATGTAGGTTTTAAAACTTTATTTCAAATTACCCAGGTATTTGGTTTTATATTATCAGTGTGCTAGAAGTTCACACAACTAGCAGCATACAGGCAATTTAAAATAAAGTACACAATATTCTGGCATATTTATACTTAACAGTCTTAGAAATTATGGAATGTATTTACAGACATACAAGTATAGGTGGAGCTTTAAAAATCCTTTACTCTATTAATTACACGTTTACAAGGTTTTCAGAAACAAAATTAGATTGTTTGTAAAACACAATATCTATACAAACGATTTTTTTAAATGTTTAAATCCACCTTAGAATTCCTCTGCTTCTAAAACAAAAATGTCAAAGAACCATTTAAAGTCATAAAAGGATAAAAAAAACACACCAGTTATCACGTCACTGCTAAGAGCAACAGAAGTGTTCTCAGTGCTGTAAAACGTTGTCTAGAATTTAATAACCCAGCAAGGAAGGGGCTTTCCAAACAAGTTTCCCCCGTCGCTAGCTCTCAAGGAGGAGAAATCAAAATCCCCTATTTCCTGACCAGATCATTTCAACACCATCAAGGACCATTAAGTGCCAGTGCCACTTCAATTTCTATTTCGTAACGTTATCGATCCTCAGTGCTTAGCAAGGTTTGTGTAAGGGTAACAACATAGCGGAGTTAACATAAACCTACTAGCAAGCGCTACACTCTGAAATGGATTTTCCCCCAACACAAATGCCCCAAAAGGGAAAGACCACAATTGATTCTTGCTTTAGCACACAAAATGAAATCCAATGTGTTTTCTTTAAAATATTTTTTCACTGGATATAACAAAAATTGCACATAAATATACCAAAAAATCCCAACCCATTTATTTACAAGAGAAAACGGAAGTGTTTTTTGGTATAATACATCACACATAAACCGTATCTTGAAATTTTAGATTTGGATTTTCATCCTCGATGTCTGGTCAACGTTTAGTGTTTGCCAGCATGAAAACAGAAAATTAAAGAGTCAAACTAACATGACCACACAAATGTGTACTTGCTCGAGTGAAATGTTTGTTTAGAACTGTAAAGAAAATAAGAGCATACACCTGACCAGGCATACAAGCATAGTTGCTGATGTAAAATTCGTCTACACACATTTGTGTGCGACAGTGGCTGATTTTACAAGACACACTGAGAAGTGGCTATCCATTGAAAGTCAGGCTCAAACTCCAAATACACCTCTACCCCAATATAACGCTGTCCTCGGGAGCCAAAAAATCTTACCGCGTTATAGGTGAAACCGCGTTATAGCGAACTTGCTTTGATCCGCCGGAGTGCGCAGCCCCTCCCCCGGAGCGCTGCTTTACCAAGTTATATCCGAATTCATGTTATATCGGGTCGCGTTATATCGGGGTAGAGGTGTGGTTAGTTTTCCAAAAATTAACATTTATGAAATGTCCAACTTCTACCAACATGAATGCTGTTACAGTCAGTTTCTGTAAGTCCGGGAAGCTGGGCTGGAGCAAATAACAGACCCTCACAATTCCACATTAAGTTTAACAGATTTCTTTCGATCTGTTAAACAAAACCTAATACCCAGGTACACAGAATGCAAAGTATCTAGTACTGAGAATTCAGATTCATTTGTTACTCCCCTTTAACAATGATTTGTAGACAACCCCTAAGGAAGCATTTATGGTCTATGGCAGAATTGTCTGTATCAGTTTTCCAAACGGGGGGTCACAACCTTCAGAGGGTTGCAAGATTTTGTGCCATCAGGGAGGAGGGGTAAGGAGCAGCGTGAGGGAGGCGGGGGCTCTGGAGGGGACACGCGCGGCACCCAATCCCGCTCTGCCTGCTGGGCCCTCCAAGAACCGCCGGCCTCTCCACTTGGCGTTGCTGGAAGCCTTGAGCCAGCAGGGAGGGGAGGCAGAGACGCTGCTGATGGTCCCATTCTGGGGTGCACGGCGCTGGCTGCAGAGAGGCAGAAGAATCCAAGGGAGTGGCGGTGCTGAAATGAGAACCCCCAGCCTGGCAGGGAGCTGCAGCACTGGGGAGCCGGAGTGCCCAGTCCGTGTGCTCTGCCTGCTCCACGTTGCAATGACAACTCCCTCCCACTACCCTGGGGAGTGGGTGACAAGGGAGAGTAGGGCTGGCTGTGGGACCGGGCGGCACAGGGTTGAAAAAATCTGCCTCCTCCCAAGAAATATCTGAACTGGCCCCACTGCTTCAGGGGATGGGGGTGGGGGAAAAAGTTTGGGAACCACTAGTCTATAGTGTCAGCAGTGAGATGCCATCCCCCATTCAACAAAGGGCAGAGACTGCAGTAAAAAAAAGTTCTCCTTTCACTGCCACATAATCCTTCAAGGACCAGCTCTGTCCTTTGCAAGCCTTCCCTTGGAACAAGTTGCTGTGAACACAGTCTACACCGTTTGCTGGGGGAAGGTGTACCTGTACAGAGCTGCTCTCTTCCTTTTTATGATGCACGTTACTGGCACGCTCAGATCTTCCAGAAACCAAGGCAGCCACTTACACATTATGAAAATATTTTCTCTTATCAACTGTGCGACTCTAGTTTTAAATATCCTTCACGTGTTTTTCTAGACTTATGGTGTGATCAGTGGTGTCAACACCAATATGAAGCAAAATATTTCCTTATGTGATCGTTGAGACAACAGTTACCACAAGCTACCATGAAATAATTATTATGCAAACAAAGCAGGGTGAGAATGGAATGACAAATCTAAAGGGAAAATTCAGCTAAGCCCAGACTTCTGTGCTCAAATGTTCCCAAGACCAGGCTTATTACAGCAAAGAAAACTTTTAGCTAACCTTTTTTCCATCTCTTCTGCTCACTTCATCCCTTCTGAAAACCTCTTGGTATTACTGGTTCACTAACAACACCCCAGAATGGAACACCACAAATACCAGAAGTCTCATTCACACCCTGTGCAATCCAGGATAATGGCAGAGGTGTCTTCTGGGATACCCCAGGAAATAGCAAGAGGATTTCACTGTGGGAGAACAGGATTTTTGAAGTGTTACTATATCAAAAAAGAAAGTTACTGCAGGGCTGGATGTGACCCAGCCTAGTCAGGGGGCCAAGGCAGCAGAGAATTCTGGACTTTGCCAGTCACCTTTAAAGTAACATCATACCTTATTTTCAGTTTCCTGTTCACATATTTTGAATTTCCACTTTTTGGGGAAAAGGAAGTAGGCGGAGGAGAGTAAAGGCAGTTTATAGCACTGTATGAACTACAAGAAAACATGCTTTAACAACACATTCTGTCAAACCCACCCACAGAAATTTCCTTTTGCAAAAGACTGGCATTTTGAAAGCTGAGCGTTATGCCAACACACAGAACCACTCCAGGAATTCAATAATCTCATTCTTTCCTACAATAATTTGTTCCTACATAACTGGGGTCTTCATTGGTGTAAGGGGGTGGTTGTGTGTTGTTTTCAGTTGAAAACAGAATTGGATAACAGATCTCTAATGGATGGTTTGATAGCTTATGATTATTTGCACTGGAATGAAAATAGGTACATGATTCTCCATAGGAAAATCTTCAGTCATTATTTGCAGCACATACAAGCCATAGACCAATTTAACATTACCATTTAGTAACCGAGTCCCCATGATGGGTAGGAGAGGGCATGAAAGGGGTAAGATCTTTCCCACTGAAGTGGGGAAGATTCCAATATAAAGAGAGATTTATAACCAACAGAAGCTTAAAGCCAGCAAATATTTTGATTTGTTTAATAAAACTATTTGAACAGTTATGGTTTAGTATCTTTCACTGAAATGTGTGTTACTTATAGAGGTAACAAGCAGTATGTTTTCCCTGGAAAAAACAGCACTATCTATATTTTTTTAATATTGAGGACATGCCAACACAGATTGAAGTATCACTTTCAGTCTTGCTTTGAAAAACTGAGACTCATCAGCTTCAAAACACAGTCTTAACCTGTGATCTTTATATGCACTGGAAAGAGCTGGCGTTTCTTAGAAGCAGGGAAAACTCTCTCTGGGACTCCTGGGGAGGACAAGCCGTCTCCATCACTGTGTTGCAATGGAAACATCCCCTTTGGAAATATATCCTAGTAGGAATCTTACAGTTTTTCGAACTGTATATATAAATCCCCTACATCTACATAGTCAGTTTTAACAGATGCTTCTAAACAACCAGACAAAGGAATTTTCCCCAAGAAAAAACCTCACTTTATAAAGGGGAAAAAATATTGGTAAAAAATTAAATGGAAACTGGTGTGATCTCCAAAAAAGTGGAGAAATGAAGCAAAACATTCCTGTCAGGAATCACAGAATCTAATTTCCTTCTTAGAACAGAGCTCTGTGTGTTTGGATACACTGCACCAGCAGTAAAGTCTTCATGTTCTTCTGCTTAGCCAAGGGAAACCAAAAGGTCCTGGAGATCTTTACGCAGCAGACAAGTGGTGATGCTGCTGCTTTGGGGGTGCAAGCTCCAGAAGTGCGTGGACTGTCACTGCTACCTGTGTCAAACCTTTCTCTTCTAAAATATGCAGAGGCAAACATAATCGCTCCTACATGGGAAAAACACAACAAAAAGACAAAAACAAAGAAAAGGGATGAAAACCACTCAACTGAAAAGAAAAGAAAAAAAATGCAAATTAAACAAGCAGAAGGAGACTGAAATATGAAATGGTATGGACACCTAAACAAAAATATCTATGGAAATAAACCTTTACCTCTGGATAAGCCAGCTGTAAATGTGACACCAAGGTAACAAACCAGCAAACTCTTGGACAATCATTTTGTTTGTTTATTCATCAGCACTCATGAAAAATATATGTACAAATAAGGACTGTTTTCAGGGGAGCAGGTGAGAAGAGGGAAATCACCCATTTGCCCTTACTTCACTCAAATGACATCACTTGATGAAATCAGAATTGGATTGACTGTGGGGCCTTTACTTCAATCTGGTAAACATGATCACAGATCAAGAGTACAACAGGAATGGTGTTTTGATTTCCGTACACAACAGGGATGTGGGGGAGTCCTCAAACACCGTTGTTCAGCTCCCAGATGTGAATAAGCAAACACACTTTTTAAAGCTTTTAACAAATACTGAGATACTAGCATGTGCTTTGGAAATATTGTGCAATAAATCTGAGAAGTATCCGCATGCTTAAGAGCAGTTCTTGTCAACAGCAAGAGATATATTACCCCCACAAAAACCTCTTAAAACAACACCACACCACACATTTGGTCTGATCTTTCCTACTAGACACACAGCAGAAAGCCATGTGAAAGAAGAAAACAGAAGAGCACATTAGTTGTTTTATGGCAAAATAGGGTCTTGTTTATACGCACAATTGATTGGCCTTCAAAAAGGATTAGGGCTGTCAATCGCAGTTAACTCACGCGATTAACTCTAAAAAAACTAATCGCCATTAATCGCACTTGTAACAATAGAATACCAATTGAAATTTATTAAATATTTGTGGATGTTTTTCTACATTTTCAATATTTATTTCAATTACAACACAGAATACAAAGTGCACAGTGCTCAATTTATATTATTATTTTTATTACAGATATATGCACTGTAAAAATGATATACAAAAGAAATAGTATTTTTCAATTCACCTCATACAAGTACTGTAGTGCAATCTCTTTATCATGAAAAGAGAACTTACAAATGTAGAATTATGTATAAAAAAACTGCATTCAAAAATAAAACAGTGTAAAACTTTAGAGCCTACAAGTCCACTCAGTCCTACTTCTTGGTCAGCCAATCACTTAGACAAACGAGGTTGGTTACAATTTGCAGGAGACAATGCTGCCTGCTTCTTGTTTACAATGTCACCTGAAAGTGAGAACAGGTGTTCGCATGGCACTATTTTAGCCGGCATCGCAAGATATTTACGTGCCAGATGCGCTAAAGATTCATATGTCCCTTCATGCTTCAATCACCATTCCAGAGGACATGCGTCCATGCTGATGACAGGTTCTGCTCAATAACGATCCAAAGCAGTGCGGACCAACGCATGTTCATTTTCATTATCTGAGTCAGATGCCACCAGCAGAAGGTTGATTTTTCTTTTTTGGTGGTTTGGGTTCTATAGTTTCCGCATCAGAGTGTTGCTCTTTTAAGACTTCTGAAAGCATGCTCCACACCTTGTCCCTCTCAAATTTTGGAAGGCACTTCAGATTCTTAAACCCTGAGTCGAGTGCAGTAGCTATTTTTAGAAATCTCACATCGGTACCTTCTTTGCGTTCTGTCAAATCTGCAGTGAAAGTGTTCTTAAAACGAACACGTGCTGGGTCATCATCCGAGACTGCTATAACATGAAATATATGCAGAATGCAGGTAAAACAGAGCAGGAGACATACAATTCTCCCCCCAAGGAGTACAGTCACAAATTTAATTGACGCATTATTTTTTTAATGAGCATCATCAGCACGGAAGCATGTCCTCTGGAATGGTGGCTGAAGCATGAAGGGGCATACGAATGTTTAGCATATCTGGCATGTAAATATCTTGCAACGCCAGCTACAGAAGTGCCACGCAAACACCTGTTCTCACTTTCAGGTGACATTGTAAATAAAAGCAGGGAGCAGTATCTCCCATCAATGTAAACAAACTTGTTTTTCTTAGTGATTGGCTGAACAAGAAATAGGACTGAGTGGACTTGTAGGCTCTAAAGTTTTACATTGTTTTATTTTTGAATGCAGGTTTTTTTGTACATAATTCTACATTTGTAAGTTTAACTTTCATGATAAAGAGATTGCACTACAGTATTCGTATGAGGTGAATTGAAAAATATTTTTGTTTTGTTTTTTACAGTGCAAATATTTGTAATAAAAAATAAGTATAAAGTGAGCACTGTACACTTTGTGTTGTGTTGTAATTGAAATTAATATATTTGAAAATGTAGTAAACATCCAAAAATATTTAAAATAAATGGTATTCTATTATTGCTTAACAGTGCGAGTAATCACGATTAATTTTTTTAATCGCTTGACAACCCTAAAAAGGATACATGTAAAAAGTGCTGTTCTTACTGTTAAAAAGAATACAACGAAGAATTACCAGGAATATTTTAAAGGCAAATATCCTCAATATAGGAATAAAAGAAAGTCATTCTTGAGCTATCAGTTATTCATCTTTCACAGGCATTCTTTTTTAATACAAGTCATCTCAGAAAAGCACCCTTACTAAGTAGTAGTACTTAAAAATATCTAGTGTGGAATGAACTTTCAAGGCATTTACGGAGTTGTGCTGTTGTGTGTATAATATGAGTTTAGGGCCTGATCCTGCAACCAACTTCACAGAGGCTGTCCGCCTGTGCTCAGGCAGAATCCCACTGACCTCAGCGAAGCTTCATGCAGGGGTCCAACCATGGAGAGTCAAATGCGGAATCAGGTCCTTGGATTTCTACTTTAAAAAAACCTGATACCCCATATCTGGCCACTCTGTAAACCCTGGAGAATCTTTATACATTTCTTTATATATGCACATGGCAACCTGATTTTCTACACTGCTTGCATCTTCTGTGAAGACTTGGAAAAAAAAAAATCTTCAAATTCTTGGCAATGTGTGAGCGATCAGAGCCTGGACTCCTCATGTGGAGACCTCGACAGGAGACACACTGCATAAGTGCAACCTGCAATTCTTGAGATCAGACTGACACCTTTCAGGTCCAATAAACAAGGAGGCGTCACTCTTAGACTAGAGAAAAATACAATTACCGATAAAATATCTGTGGATTTCAGCCTTTTAAAAATATATAAACAAACAAGGGGAAATGATCTGGAATGAATCCATACCACAGAGACAGACAAAAAGGCTTAAAACTGGAAGGCACCGTTATTGTAAACCCTTGCAGTTTTTATCACAGTGTTCATTAAGAGAAGTTAATAAAGGCAACTGAGTTAGTTTTAGTCCATACCAGTAAACAGTGTAAAAACAGCTCCAATGGTCAATTTTTTTAAATAACTGTAATCCTGCCTTTTGTGGGGGAAAAACAAGCACGTTCTCCTCAGGCAGAATTCCCAGACAGGAATGTTCTGTGTCAAATCACAATGTGATCTGAAAAGGAGGCAAGCAACTCCCATTAACCTACTCTTAGGTTCGTTAGCCCTACTTTTATAACAAGGCTCAGCAGATCATGCATATTAAAAAACATTTTCAATGGCCATTATAGCATTTGCAACTCAGCTACGTACGACGCAGTGCTTCAGACTTACTACTGTGTTACTACTGCTGAAACACTGCACTGCAGCAGCTAAGCTGGGCTTAAGAGCTGTTGACCATATTTCTTAGGATTAAGAGGAATTCATTGAAACACATTCAGAAAAGGACAAATTACTTAATACTCACTTGTAACTGGTCTCTGAACACAGTCTCCTAATCAATCTACACTGGGGAGACGTGGTCTCTTGCACACAGCATCAGGAGTACCCTGAAGCTCTAAGACATTTTTGGAACTCTGACTTGAATCAAGTGGGAGGGCAGAATGGGAACTCAGTCTAAACATTCAATAACTGAGCAGGAGAGATGTGGCAAATCTGGATTAAAAACTAGGCTAATGGGTCCCAGCCTTTGCGGGTAACAATCAATATACTGGGCTTGATCATTGCCACTACTTCCCATTAAACTGTAGTTGGTCTAATCTGGAATAGAGCTTGCGCGGCTCCAAATGCCACTCTTGCAAACATGACACTGATTTTTGAAGGAGCCCAAGCTTCACAGTAAGTACTAACACCCCTCCCCCCCCCTTGCCACATGGCAGTGGTGCACTGGCACCCAACACAGAAGCTCTTCATCTAGGTAGGGAAGAGGCAGGTTCAGTACAAGTTACAGAACTTTGAAGGACGGCTGACTGAGAAGCACCAGGCTAGGTAATACTGCCCAAAATAGTGAGCTCCATGTAGTGACTCTGCAAATGAGGAAACAGAACTGATCAGTGTCTAACTACTTTTGTTGGCAAACCCTGAAGGAAGTGGGGCTCTAATATAGAGTTCACATGACAGTCCCATTAAAACAATAGCAAACAACAGAAAAAGGCAGATAATTGGTTTGGTGTCAAAAGAAAAAGTTGGATGGCCTTTGTCTGCTCCTTTTGACATCCAATTTATGGATCACGGTCTCCCTGAGAATGCATGAAAGCAATAGAATACAGCGTGCCGCTGAAAAATTCTGAAGACTACCTGAGTTTTGCAAAACAGTGAAGAGTGAATACGTTATTAGAGCCTGTAGCCCACAATTCTATGATGCAAAGATTCTGATCATGAGGAGGAGGAAGAGACTTATGGAATAAGGTTGGGTTTGAGCTCACACCAATCAAGTGCCTGCTCCAGATGTTTGCTATGAGGACCACAGTAATATTCCATGACACTACAAGGTTTCTGATGGGATTTAAAGATAGCTCATCTTGCACCAGGAACCAGATTTTTCCCAGTGTGGATGAAAATGTTCAGCTCCTCTACAAACTCCATGCTTGATGTATTCGGCTACGTGGACACTGTGCCGCTGCAGCCGCGCCGTTCTAAGGTGCACTGCGCGGCTGCTCTTTGTCGCTGGGAGAGAGCTCTCCCGGTGACGAAATCAAACCACCTCCACTGAGGGGCAGTAGCTTCATCCCACCAACGAAGCACTGTCCACACCAGTGCTTTTCATCATTAAAACTTTTGTCATTCAGGGGGGTGTTTTTTCACCCCCGAGCAACAGAAGTTTGAACGAGGCAAGTGCCAGTGTAGACAAAGCCTTAGTAAGGTAAAGTAGCTCAGGATTTATTGTCAGCCTAAGTGCCTATTTTTAGGCTTTGTCTACACTACCACTTTTGTTGGTCAGGGTGTGAAAAGCTCCCCCCCCCGCCCCCCCGGCCGACCGACAGCGGTTTCCCCAGCACTTTTGCTGGTGGACGGCACTATGTCGGCAGGAGATGCTCTTTGGGGGCGGTTTAATTATGTTGGCAGAAGAGCTCTCTCCTGCCGGCAAAGAACGGCTACACAGGAGACCTTACAGTGGCACTGCTGTAGCGGTATAGCTGTGCCGCTGTATGGTCTGTAGTGTAGACACAGCCTTAGTAAAATGAGACGCTATTCAGAACCTAACAATACAAGAAATCCAAGACTTTAGCAAAAAGGGTTGAGGAAACTGGCACGTAAAAAAACTCTAGAGCACTCCTGATCAAAAGAATCGTAGGCCACGTCTCCTAAGACAGTAAGATATAACCAGGCACATTGACATGTAAAGAAAACACAGTATTTTTCACACATATATATCACTTTTCATCAGAGGAACTCAAAGCACTTTATAAATGTGGGTGGTATTCCCATTTTACAAATGGGGAAACTGAGGTACAGTGGAGCTGTGATTTTCCCATGTTACACAGCCATTCAATAGAGTTGTGACTAGAACCCAGTGCACTAAACCCTAGTCCCTTACTCTAGCCACTGCACAATAATGCCTCCCCTTGTAAGTAGAACGCTTGCTAAACATCGCACAAATACAAACTTGTAACAATGTCAAAGATTGTCACCTGGGTGTACCAAAGAGCGTTTTTACATTGTACATGTCAACTCTGACTGGTGATCAGAAAGAATGCACTTATCCAAACAGTTCTTGACAAAAACAAAGCCTTTACCAATCGCTGAAGTGATGTAGCGAGTCGGCAGCACCACTGTCCTTCAGCTAGAGGAAAAAGACCCAGCGATAGAACATACAGAGCGTTAGCATTAGAGTACAGTAAAATGCCACAAAGCCCCAAAGCTGGATGGAAAGAGAGACAAGAGTGGATTCTTCTGACTCTGTCCCCAAGGAAAGAAGAGTTTCAACTGTCCTTTTAACGCTGAGGTTTAGCTGAAGAATGTCAGAAGGGGAACAAAGATTGTCCTGTCCAAAGTGTGTGAGCAGGAAGGGAAAACAGACAGAAAAACAGAGTCAGTTGATCAACCGTGCAAGTATCCACGAAGCAGTCAGTCATCTGACATTTCAAATACATCCAACAATTTCAAGGAGTAAATTACAACTGGTTAATTCTCACAAAGGAATCTGCAAGACTTCTGTTCTAAAGAACTACCTCCTTATATGCATTTTGTGTTCATTAGTGTGTCAGTCTGTCTAGTTTAAATATGTAATAAAATCTCTTCAATAAAACAGCTGACAGTTGTCGTGTTAGTTCAAAACCATTATATTTTGGAAGTCAGAAATAAATTGGATAAGATATTCTTAACTACCACTGGCTGTATATGAGTCTTCACGTTCTACATACTTAATCCATACTTTAATTAGTGAAATTATTCAAAATGGCACAAACAGAGCAGATTATTTACCTGTAATTGATCTCTGAATGTAGTATTCTGCATAGATACCAAATATTTAATCACCTGGCTTAAGTGTTCTAAAATTATCAACATTTCTGGACTTTTCACCTCCTCCAACAGAGGCATCAACTGTAAACAATGATGGATAGGTGCGAATATAGCATATCATAGTGTCCAACTGTCAGTTTCTTTTGATCCAAGACCGCCAAGTCACACAGTTTTATACATCTATTCCACTGGAATACTGGAATATGAGTGTGGCTCTATGCAAGATACTACCTTTAGAGAACAATAATTACAGGTAACTCGTTTGCCCTCTTAAAAGGTAAGTATTTCTACATAGGTCCATACTTTGAGACATCCTTCTATTTCTGTAAGCTCAGAATTTAAATGAAAGGAGACACACACAGGCATTTTTTCAATAACAGTACACTAGACTGGCATTCTCATGCAGACATCCGACCTTCTCTGCTCAGGGGCAGAGGAGACATGTAAGGGTGAGTTAAGAGTTCAGGTGGGGAGTCACTCAGCTAAGTATTCACAAAGGCCTTGTTCTTCAGGAACTCTAATTTGAAGTTCAACGCAGATTCTAGGTAGGTCAGTCTTGCCTGCCTCTGGGCACCTACATGCACATCTAGCGTAATGGAGTCCACACCATAGACTTGCATTCAGTGTATAGACTTGAGCAACTTAGTAGATATGACCTACTATTTCACTTGTCCTCTCCCTTCAGCTCCCTGGAATATGAACTCACTCTGAGTGAGACTGACAAAGTGAATGACTTTGGTTTACTTCAACACCTCTAGTTAGTGCAGCACTCGAAAGTAACAGTGGGTCCCTCACTGCAGTGTTCCAACCTCATGCACCAATGAGTCTTAAGAGATTAATGGGCAGCTAAATAAGGAGTTTATCCTAAATTTTTGATGGCTTAAGGCAATCAGCTGTAATACGTCTTGAAAGTGAAGCTATCAATGACTTAATCCAGGCAAATACTGCTTTAGCAGTGACTGTCCAGCAATCACTTTCAGAAGTAGTTATGAGTCATTGGCTCCATTTTTCCCTTTCAGAGACGTCTTTCAAAAAGCAAACAGGATAAAAGAAAAAAACATGAAGCAAAACTGCAATGTGAATTCTAACACTTACTTTGTAATGTAAGGAAACATAGCAATTAATGCACCAGAGAAAAAAACAACAGCAAAACAGAGTAAGTAGCTATTAAAACATCAAAGTCACCTTTGCACTGAGATCAACTGGTGTCAGAAGTGAAGTGGGGAAGGAGGGAAAGAGAAAGAAAAGACAGTTGGACTATGATGTGCTATATTGTATATCTATATTTCCATCTCTTAGCTCTTGCCCCAAGAGAGAATGTGCAGTGTTTTGGAAGGTGAAGAGGAATTCCAGAAAGTACTAGACCTTGAGAGCAAGAACATATAACAAAAGGAGTGGAGATCTATGAACAGATGACTACTCATTAGAGAACAGACCAATATAATGGTTTCTTCTTAGACAATCCAATTGTTCACATAAAATAACTGAGAAGTAGGTTTTGCTCTGAAGGCAGAACAGAAACCTTGGTACTGGGGGGGAAAACACTCAAAACTATATCAATTTTTTTTTTATTTTTAAAGCCTCTTGGATTAACACCAAACATATGGTCTCAAGAAACCTGAATGACGTTTTTCAAAACCAGATTCTTAATGCACCTCCTCATTCTGCTTGACAGAATCAGACTGAGCCCAACTATAATGAACTTTCTCTAGATCACAGTAAGTGAAGCATACTCTTTGCAAACCATTATAGCAACTTTATTTTGCTTCCTGAGACAATACAAAACTAAATCAGCTCTTTCTTGTTATATGTACCTTACATGTGAACCTACAGTAATAAATTTTACACATTTGTATTGTCCCCAAACATTTCAGAAAGATCTGTTTTGTAAAGTACCATACAATACAGTATACCTGACAATACAGGAATAGGAGGGGATTTACCTGAGGCACACCAATCTTTCTGCAAGCTTCCAGGAAATTCTCCACATTTCGTCTGCATTTTGCCATTGTTAGCTTAGGCTGCAAAGAAGCAGGGGAAGAAGGCATACAAAGTTCTTAATTGGCAGGATTTTTAAAAATAAAGCTTTTGGGTTAAATAAACTCATAATAAATCTGCAGGCCAAAAACGCGTCATGATGACATAAGCTTGTCTAATTCAAAACAGAGCTCTGTTACAGGGTGGTTGGCCATTTCCTTAGAAAGGCAGGCATGAAGTGAAAAGCTAACTCACGAAGTGCTGAGATGGATATTTTAATGGAAAAAGTATTTTGATCTGTGCAAAATATACACACAAAGTGTTATAAGATAGGCTGCACATTTGGTGTCTATTTTGAGTGGCTGCAATAACCTAATCTTAAAAATACATTTAGAATAAAGCATACATACATAGCTCCAGTACGGTGACCTTTGAATTTCAGAGCAATTTTATGATATGAACCAACCTGGAGCCTATTCTGAATTATTAAATTATATGCATGTTTAAAACATATTTCAGTTAACAAAGAAGTACAAAAAGAGCCAGATGAAACCAGAGAAAATGGAAGCTGCTGCCTAAGTTCCTTACAAGTGTGTTTCATATGGTTAACAGCAGAGTTCTAAATTGTATTTATCAGATTTTTCTTGAACAATGGGCATTTTCTGGTTAACTTCAACACTTTTACACAGACTTTAATTACTGGAAAAAGAATAGACTAGACAAACAGAAACAAGACATAAGATGCCCCTTTTCTCCCTTGTGCTGGCTACCCACATTGTGGGTAACAGTGGACCGGGCAGCTTCTGTGAGGCTAATACTCCCCCCTCTAAGCAGGTGGGTGGGAAGCTGCTGGAGCTTCAGCTCCACACCCTCAATGTGCCAGACAGCACAGCTGAGCTGGTACAGAGGGGTAAAGAATCTGTGCCAGGTTAAGGGTTGATGCAGATTTCCCCCTACTGGAGTAAGGAGGGAAAACAGAGAACATATTATGGCTGAGTCACAATAGAACCCCATTCCGCTCTCCAGGCACTGCGACTATACGCTGCCTCTTACTCAGGGCTTGTGGCAACATCATGATTTAGCTCATAATGGAGAGTTGGAACCATCTAATTCCACGGAGGACAGGGCACAGAGAATATCTTCATTATGAAGTGAGTTTACTGAATAGCAGCTATATGCATCCATTTTTTGAGGATTCTGTAATCTGCCTAAAATGCCATCATATCTATTTAGTCTGTTATTTAAACAATGGGAACATCTGCATGATCAAACAAGACCAGAGAAGACAAACCATAATGATATGGCACACAATGCTGTAAGTGCCAGTTAGAGTTCTAACACAAGTACTGTCTCCAAAATAAATCAAAGCAAAACTTAACATACATTTTCTCCAGAGACTCCCTTTGGTTTTCCTTTTTTATTTATATAGTCATTCACCATGTTTTAAAATCATAACAAGCAAAAAAAATCTGCCTTTATGAGAGCAAAATGCACATTATATATTCAAAATACACTTGTATATTTCAAGTAGGCAAGAGCCCACGGGGGTGTCTTGTATAGCTCTGTTGGATTCTAACTTATGAAGCACTCCTGTGGGTATGCTACAAGCACTAAGGGAAGGCAGACAATTTCCCATGCTCCACCGATCTTCAAGTAGTCTATTAGGTTGCCTAAAAAAAACCCCAACGAAATGAACAAACTTGCAACAACAACAGGATCAATACTGTAAGTGACTCCTCTTCATTTCCTGATTCTCATACCTTCTCTAGCTACATGTGGTATTTTGGTGGTACACATTTTTAGTTGCCACTGATGAAGTTATAGATACAGGTACTTTTCCTGCAGTACTTTCCAAAATTTCTAAAGCACTGCCCAAAATATTGCAGTCAGGAAACACAGAAGTATCTTAAGCAATTTCTCTTGCTGGGTGTACTTCCTGCTACAAACACTCCCAGAATACACGAAGATTAAGTTCCTGTCCTTCTGTTCCCAAAAGTGTGTATCTGGGCTTATCTGCGTTGTGCTCAAGGGACTTTGAACAATCTGATCAATATGCCCTATCAAAATTCCTAAGAGAAAGAGTTGATGGTAATTTAAGTGGATCCAGGAATGGGAGTCTATTCACATCAATTGAGATGGAATTCTGATTCCCTATTTCTTTCTTATGTTTTCTGTATTGTGTTGCCACACATGCATTTAAATGCTATATATCCCAGCTATCTGTCCTTCTCAGTTTCTAAGGCCTTTTGACCCTCTGAAATATCCTGTTTTGGTTCTCATATTGAATCCTGCCTTTTGTTTTACTAAAATATAAAGTTCTCAAGTCCTATACATAGTTCAATTAATAAAATCTGTGTTAGAAGTAACTATTTAATATAGCCACACAAATGTCACTAGCTTTTTTATGGCTTTGCTACGCATTCTGCTTAGGCAAAGGAGACTGGTATTTTGTCAGCTCTGCCCAACATCAGAAGAAGATGCTACATGTAGTCCTCACATGGACTATGAAACGCTATGATGAGACCCAGACAACTACAACACACTGTTACATCTTTGTATACTTACTACAGCAGGCGAGGGGACATGGATGCTGGGAACAGATCGAGGCCGCACATGATTGGCTAAGTGGCAGAGAACAACTCCGTCAGTAAGAGCTGCTCCAAGATCACTGGGCAAAGGCACTTTTAACCGTGACTCAATATTCTACAAAAGAATGAAAAACATCCAACAAAATATGTATCACACAAAGCAAATAAGAATACAGTTAAATGATTAAATGCTGCTGCTCTTCTCAAACATTTCATAACAGCAAAACCTCTCATGGACCAACATCCCTCTTAATTCTCTGGGGCTTGGTTCTCAAAAGGTTTCATTCTGTGGACCACCAGGATTCACAACTGACCACAGTTTGAAAGCTACTGAGTTAAAAGACAAATGGAGTTTTCACAGTGCAGCACATGGAATTAAAATCCAGGAACTGAGATAAAAAGAATGTTACTCAAAATTGATGAAAACCACAAATCCCAGGGTGAGTAATCAAGGTCCAAGAAATATATTCCACATCCTCCAGGTACTCAGAGATTAGATGTACTATGAAAATAGTTGTCTTAAATGTAGGAGTGGAATGTAGTCACCAGAGGCAAGAGATAATATTTTCCCTGCAAAGGAAAACTGAACTACTACATTTAATCAGTTTAAGTTATCTTAAGCAGGAAAAGGCAATGAAGTGTAGTGGTTACAGCAGAAGAGAACAGGCTTCCAATTCACGGGTTCTATTCCGGCCTCATTCAATATATCATTTGCAGTCAAGCTGTAGCCGTGTTGTTCCCAGGATATTAGAGAGACAAGGTGGGAGAAGTAATAGCTTTTATTGGATCAATCTCTGTTGATGAAAGAGACAAGCTTTCGAGCTACACAAAGCTTAGAGCCTGCCTGTTTCATTCAGTGTATGACCTTTGGCAAATCACTCTTCTGTATTTCAGTTTACACATCTGCAAAATGAGTTTGGTTTTATACTTAAAACTCCAACCTACCGAGGAAGTAGGTTGTGAGGCTCAATATATGCAAGGTCCTTTCAGATCAACAGATGAAAGGAGCTACATCAGTACAAAATATTATTTAGAGAACATGCTGGGTTATGGTTTCCTTTAAGTCAGGGGTGGGCAAATTACAGCCTGTGAGCCTTTTTAAGCCAGCTCGCGAGCCGCATCACGTGGCTCTTCCCTGCTCCGTCGGGGGCGCTGGATCGGAAGCTGCACCACACGGCTCGGCCCCGTTCCGTCCGGGGCGCTGGGTCGGGGCCGCACCACGCAGTTCGGCCCCACTCTGGCACTCCGGCCAGGGAGCAAGGTTGGGGACCGCACCGTGCAGCTCCCGGAAGCTGCAGCATGGCCCCGCTCCGGCTCCTACGCGCTCCAATCGGAGCTGCAGGGGCGGCGCCTGCGGATGGGGCACCATGCAGAGCCGCCTGGCTGTGCGCCCGCATAGGAGCCAGAGAAGGGACATGCCACTGCTTTTGGGAGCCGCTTGAGGTAAGCGCCGCTCAGAGCCTGCACCCCTCTCCCCACGCCCAGCCCTGATCCCCCTCCCACTCTCCAAACCATTTGATCCCATCCTGGAACACCTTCCCTGAACCCCAAACCTCTCATCCCCAGCTCCACGCAGAGCCCACAGCCCAGCCAGAACCTGCACCACTTCCCGCACCCCTGCCCCAGCCCTGCTCCCCCTATCGCCCTCCGAACCCCTTAGTCCCAGCCCAGAGCACCCTCCTACACCCCAAACGCCTCATCCCCAGCCCCACCCCAGAGCCGACACCCCCTCCCACACCCCAAACCCAATTTTGTGAGCATTCATGGCCCGCCATACAATTTCTATTCCCCAAAGTGGCCCTCGTGCCAAAAAGTTTGCTCCCCCTGCTTTAAGTTCATGAGTGGAAGAAAAAAATCCATTCTGGTGAAGTGCTTACATTCACTACTGTATTAGCATCAGCATTTATGGAATGAGTAAGAAGTCTTATTTCCTGACAAAGTTTCAAACAATTACAATGATAACTTACATTTCTAGTATCAGAGGGGTAGCTGTGTTAGTCTGGATCTGTAAAAAGCGACAAAGAGTCCTGTGGCACCTTATAGACTAATAGTCTTATATTCTATAAGGTGTCACAGGACTCTGTCGCTTTTTACATTTCTAGGTACCTTTCATCCCAGAAGATTCCAAACCACTTTACAAACACTTCTAAGAGTCACTTCCGGCACTACAGAAATGCAGCCATCTCTGGGGTGAAACACTGCAGCAGCATAACAGACCATAGCATTTTTATTATTTATTATGTGTCCTGTGGTAGTCTAGTGCCAGTCATGGACCACAACTCCACTGTGCTAATTTCAGTACAAACACAGAACAAAAGGACAGTCCCTGCCCCACCCTCTAAGGGCTTGTCTTCAGTACCAGGGTAAACGACCAAAGTTACGTTACTCCAGCTACATGAATAAGGTGGCTGGAGTCGACGCAGCTTAAGTCGACTTACCCCAGTGTCTTCACTGCACTGCGTCGATGGGAGATGCTCTCCTGTCGACTTACCTTACTCTTCTGGGAGAGCTGGAATACTGGAGTCGACCGGAGAGCGCTCTGCCGTCGATTTAGCGGGTCTTCACGAGACCCACTAAATCGACACCCGCTGCATCGATTGCAGCAGCGATCTCCCCGGTAGTGAAGACAAGCCCTAAATATAAGACGGGAGACAACACGTGGATACCGACCGATGGGTAGTAAAAGGAAACATGATATTAGTTAGCAGTGGTCTGAGACACCAATTGCCTAACCATTGCCAAGCTTTTTGTAGGCATCATGGCAAAGGAGAGTTTTAAGAAGGGATTTGAAAGAGGACAATGATGTTTACAGGGAGTTCCTCCCAACTGGGAGGGGCAGCCTGGGAGAAAGCACAAAGATGCTCTTTAAATCTTCAAACAAGTGGGAGATGAACACAGGCTTCATTGGCAATCAGGTGGGAGTGGACAACTTGACAGTGTACGAAAAGTGATATTATACAACAGGAGTAAGATGAAGAATATTGTAACCAACTGAATGGAAAAATTTTAGATTGTGAAGTTACTAACATTTAATTTATCCCAAACACTATGGCTGGTTAAATGAAGCAAGCCCAAAACAACGAAGAAACATTTGCATCATACTTGCAGTGAATTTGCTAAAACGTTTGTATATTAGTTACTGCTAGTACACACCTTCCGCAGTTGCTCTATTAGCTCCAACTCTTCCTCACGTTGCTTGGAGTTCTGCCTTGCTCTGGGGTCTGTAGAATCATTAGGAGGAGATGAGGCAGAAGAGGGAGATGAAGCAACAGCTAGAAAAACAGCATGAAGGAAAGTGACAAACTGCGTTTGGTTGGGAGGTATTCCTTTAATGCAGTATTATACACTCACAGTATGCAAGTTTGGGTACAGTACATTTCTATTCACAAATTGATTTCCTCCCTTAGATTATTAATCTAAGCAAGGCTTAGATGCTGTTAATTTTCTTTTGCCCAATAAACACTTGCATAAAAAGGATTAATTTTAGATAGCTGAAATGTTGCTCTGTACAACTTTCATCAGTCTTACTACAAAGGTATGAATTCTGGTATGTACTACAGTACAATGCAAAGTCTATAACGCTGCCTTCGTTGCTGTCAAGGGGATTAATAAATAGCATTACAGTAGCCTCTTAAAGTATAAATCCAGGAGAGCAGAACACTAGTCTCCCCCCCCACACACACACACACACTCCACAAATTTGCACATCAAATTCTTTGATATTTGTTAAATTTATGTATTACCAAGACAAAAATATTGGACTTATTACAAATGGGACTATAATGGTTTATTCTAAGAAAGTTTAGCGACTGGTGTCCACAGATAGGTCTCTAAAGCTAATTTGATGAGAATAAAGCTACTGTCGCCAAGATAATGCAATTGTGCAAAAACTGGTTAACATGGAAGTTAATGTAACTTTGTTACACAGTCCAGCTTCTCCCGCTATATAACCTACCTTTGTTCATTTCATCCCTTACAGCTGCTCGGAAAAGGAAACTTTCAGGTCGCTGGGAAGGGTTTCTATAGGAAGGAGGAGTGGCAGGGCCAGGATACAGAGAGGAAAGGTGGACTGAACAAATGTGGAAAGGCACAGGAAAGGAAAGGAGGACAAAGAAGAAAAAAGTTACAAGTTTAGCACTGTAGTAATTAAAAGAACAAAATAAAATTATAACATAATGACAAGATAAATTACAGCCAGGCATGATAAAAGCATAGGACAGAAAGAGGCACCTTCAAGAGCACTTGCATGCGAAGCACATTCCATGCACTTTTACCAACAAATTGTTCCATTTTGTATTTAATGTGTCATCAGGGCAACACCAATGCCAGAGCCTGGAAAATGTGGAGCCCCACTACTTCCCACAGAATGTGCCAGCAGCTCTGTGCTCTATTTACATATGTGACTCAAGAGAGAATTTAACAACAAATCAGACCCACAGACAGAGCAGTCCAGCTTACGGATAGGAATGACATCTTTAACAGTCTAGCTATGCAAGCAAGCAATTCAACCTACTTTATCCCTTCTTTTTAGACTTTTTGCATCTCTCTCCTGTTACCTGTTTGGGTAGTCGGTGAAGCTGCTGATATAGTAGATCTGTCATCACTCTGTGGACAAATAAGTAAAACAGCATTAATGATGCTTATTGAGAAAGGCTACGACTAGCTTTTCAGAAGTTACCGTCCACCTAGACACATTTCAGAAAAAAAAATATAAAGGAAAAAACAGCCTATTGTTAAAAAAAGATGTACAATAGGCACTTGTTTTGCAGAACCGATGCAAGTTGTCTTCTTCAAGGAATAAAACGGCGAACGAGGTATTGCTTCTGGAAAGGACAGTGGCAATGCTGTGTTTGAATATTTTTCAGGGTGGGAATAGGGATATTACCTGTTTTTCAATTAAATATCATGCAAAACGTGCAAGACAGCAGCTTTGATTCGAATACACAACCCGCTCTAAATCTTTGCAAGAGCAAAATTAGTATTAATTGAATTTCACTCTCCTGCCCACCCTCGGAGTAATATTGTGGTTAGAACTAATGAAAGTGCTGATCAAAGATTAGTTAATGATGGATTGATGATTTCTTGTGATTAATGCTTTTTACTATTCAATATAATAAAGTTTCCATAGCAGATGATGATGTACGTTTTATGGTAAGCGTAAACTTGTAAAGAAAAAGAGCCGTGACATTTCTAGTAAGCTACAAGTCAGTCGATGGCTTGGGGAAGAGAAAATAAAAGAAATGGTGACAGGCAACAAGAATGTAAGAATCGATCCATACAGGGATTGAAACCCTGCTAGCTGCTAACATAGTTGCATGGTTTAGGCTCACTGAAGATAGGACCAAAAGCTAAAGCAACATAAAACCTACTGCAATTTAATCAGGTCAGTCAAGTTCATAACCTCTGAATTTCAGATTAAAAGCTGGCAGACTAGCACATATTAAAATAGAATTATGGATCGCAGAGTTTTTTGTTGGCTTTACTGGTGAATAATAGCTAGAGATACCTTGACAGATCTGAAGGCATGAGGCAGGGTGGTAGCACAGCCCTCTTGATTCAACCCTGACAGCGACTGAACACGGAAAGAAAGAAGGCAGTACCAACATTAGCAAACAGTTGACAGGATGTGCATGGGCAAAATGCACCAGTAAGATTAAAAAGGGGCAGGTACTTACAAATGTTCAAGTGTTGCAAAGATATTAGTGGGGAGAGGTAAAAATGCCAGAATATTTATTTGCTAAATCTAAAATGCAATTAAAATTTTCCTACCCTCAAAAATATTACAGTCCATGAACTTGAAAGATGGGATGTTTCATTTAAAACAAGAACACAATCACATCAAAAGCAGAACTAAGAACTATCATATTGGTAGAAAGCTCTTCAGTCATATACTGCACTGGTCACCACACTCACTGACACGAAAGCCACTAATTAATTTTAAACCACTAATCAGAATAAACAGATTTGCATACACTTTCAAAATACAAATTTCACGTTGAATTGAATAGGTTGTTTTCCTAGTAACTTCATGAATGTGCAGAAAACAACATCATCTGATTGGCTCCAAGGCACAACATCTGATTATTTTCACAATGAAAAATTTAAAAAGTGATATTTGTGAGTTAAAATCCCAGAGACAGAAACTAGGCTATCAGAGAAGATGTCTGAAATGAAGCTTTTCAATGCTTTAGTGAGCAAATTGCCCTCACTAGGAGGGTGGTGAAGCACTGGAATGGGTTACCTAGGGAGGTGGTGGAATCTCCTTCTTTCGAGGTTTTTAAGGTCAGGCTTGACAAAGCCTTGGCTGGGATGATTTAGCTGGGGATTGGTCCTGGTTTGAGCAGGGGGTTGGACTAGATGACCTCCTGAGGTCCCTTCCAACCCTGATCTTCTATGATTCTATTATTCATATTTTAATAAATGTCAAAGAGGCAGAGGATGAACTACTCTTCACATTTACACAGTGGTTCTTGCTTTTTACTGGTAGAAGTTTTTAAACCAATAGCTGCAGCTTGGGGACCAAGGTCTGGAAAAGCAATATTTGGTGCCCGTATGCTGGCTAGCTATGGACCCCTCAGCTGTTACTTCTGCTCTCAAATATGTGCAATGAGTGTGATGAAAAGGCTACAGCCTACATAGTCTGCTAGAGAGCAAAGGAGAGTCCACATAAAGACACACTGACTATACACCCTGACTGCTAAGTCTTGCCCATGACTCAACACACAAAGGGCCTGTAGTGTGTCAACATGGCAAGTTATAGGGGAGTCTGGATCAGGCACAACAGTTTCACTGTGGTTCTACCCAGTCCTACATTTTCCTGCACACAGGAAATGCAAACTCAGAACTGTGCCCTTAGATTTTAAGTGGCACAAACTAGACTATATCCTTCAAGTTATTAGAGAGTACACTCAAAGCAGCACAATTCAGGAGCTGGATGAGTAAAGAAGGGACAGTACTTTCCAAAACTGTTTTCAAATAATACTTGAACGTATACAAAACAACAAAAGGTTACTACCTCCAACAACCATCTAGGTGTAATGCACACACACTTGTTTGTTGAAATCTTAACATGACTGTTACCACACTGCCCCTTTCAAAAAACAGACAGAAGTCATCTCTTACCGAAGCTATGTGCAGGGCCAGCCTTAAGCACAAGTATCTTGGTAGCCTTAGTAGCTCGCAAGACAACTTCCTCACCACATTAATATAGTGGGGGAGGGGAAGGGGTGTTGTGAGGCCTGGTTCGTGCCTGGGATACAGTTGACAAAACAAGTAAAGAACACACAGGCTTTTAAATGATGCCTAAAGAAAGGGATTTGCGCAGGCCCACAACATTAACTGAACACTTTGTTTCTATAAGGCCTGGTCTACACTAACCCCCCAAGTCGAACTAAGGTACGCAACTTCAGCTACGTGAATAACGTAGCTGAAGTCGACATACCTTAGTTTGAACTTACCGCGGTTCAGACGCGGTCCACACGCGGCAGCCAGGCTCCCCGTCGACTCCGCGGTACTCCTCTCGCCGAGCTGGAGTACCGCAGTCGACGGCGATCACTTCCTGGTTCGACTTATCGCGTCCAGACCAGACGCGATAAGTCGAACCCAGAACTTCGATTCCCAGCCGCCGAACTAGCAGCTGGGTGTAGACAAGCCCTAAGAAAAGAGCAAGTCATCCCTGACACAGGCTAACAGAAAGGCTTAGACACAAATCACACACCCATCAGCAGGCAACAGGGAGGAAACAGCGGTACACAAAAGGGTAAGACAGCCACAACAGTAACACACTGCATGCTCTTCACCTGTTTGAGAGTCCCCGGCCTTCTTTTAATGGTATTGGTGTTATTGTCAATCTCAAACACAAAGAGAGGCTCAAAGCCATTCTGTCAGGAATAGCAGAGGAAAGAGAGAGGACAAAGAGGAGGAAGTAAAGTGAGGCAAAGAATCATCTTGAGAAGACGTAGATTCAACGACAAAGGAACCAGGATACTGGTCTTGGTGACAGGTTCAACAATTCATTCCTAAAATATGCTGCTGTAAACTCTTCACTTGGCCTCCATGCTCAGCTCTTATGACTGAAGTCATAGGAACTTCCCCGCACTAGAACTAATTGCAGCATATAGGGATTGTACAGAGCAGATTCAAAAGAAGAACTGTGCCCTAGATGAATCAGGATATTACAATTTAATGTCTGTACTATGGGTGAATTCAATAATTAAGTATTTAAATACTGAAAAGGACACCCTCTGTCTGATAGTCAGAAAAATCAAAAATACAAGTTACAATATCGCTAAATCCTGCTCACTTTACTCACACAATTATTACTGCCCTGCAGTAGTGCTTTCAGGTCCTAATTGTGGATCATGGCCCCAACGTACTAGGTGCTGTGCACACAATGAAAAGATGGTCCATGACCCAAAGAGCTTATGATCCAAGTATAAGATGAGACATGACAGGTGAATACCACAACCAGGGTGAAGCCCAGGCAACCGTGAGAGGACAAATACAGTAAAAAGCAGTGGTCACAGCACAGGCTGAGACCTTGGTATTGTCAATGCAAGTAACCTCAGTTATAATCAATGGGACTACTTTCGTGAGTAAGGCAAGCAGGATTTGGTTCTCGTGTACAACTGACACATGGATAACAACCCCCTTTGACGCCCCTCAGAGAACATCAATTTCTCTCTCTCATTTTTTAGCAAACTTTTAGTCAGTCTAGCTGAAATTAATCAACAAGATTGAAGTTCATCACAGTGTGCACATTTCCGATACTATGGTCTAACTCCACTTGTCATGGTATCACTTTAATTCACACACATTAGAAGAAACATACGACTAATCTGTACTACTATTAGTGCTTACAGGAATAGTATGTGTATCTGTGTATTGTGAGGACAACAGACCTTTATAAAAGGAAAGTGTACAAACAAAATAAAGTACTACAGCTGAAAGTCTACAGCATTTCACAAATCACAAAATTAGGCAAAGTTTATCTTTACAGCAACCATTCTCATGAAGGGCAACATTTACAAAGAGGCCCAAGAAATATATGGTGTGAGACTTCAAAAGAAGGCTGCAAACCTAAGTTCCTTTTCCATTACCACTTTCTATGCATGCAAGAAGAGCATAAAGGGGGGGAAAGCATACAAAGTTTTCCAATCAACCTGTTTTCATGCAGTTTCCTTACAAGCAGGTGAAACTATTGTTTAGAGCAGCGGTTCTCAAATTGTGGGTCAGGACCCCAAAGTGGGTTGGGACCCCGTTTTAATGGTGTCACAAAAGCTGGTGTTAGATTTGTTGGGGTCTGGGGCTGAAGCCGACAACTGAGCCCCACCACCCAGGGCTGAAGCCCACACCCAAGGGCTTGAGTCCTGAGCAGCGGGGCTCAGGTTACAGGCCTACACCCCCCACTCCTGCTCTGATGGTGGGGTTTGGGTGGGCTCAAGCTTCAGTCCACCCTCATGAGGTCGTGTAATAATTTTTGTTGTCAGAAGGGGGTCACGGTGCAATGAAGTTTGAGAACCACTGGTTTAGAACAAAAGAAAAGCAACTTCTCAGTTTGCAGAGCTCTGACGTAATGAGGGAAATGCCAAACAAAAGGTCTTTATTATAGTTCTACATAAATCTCCATTGTGTTTAAAATAGAACACTACTCCCATAAAGCAAGAGTAATTGTTAGAGTCTCCACTGGAATAAAATTAGGTACTTTCAAATAAAATTTATCTGCAAGTTCAGAAGTGCACAATAATTACTTAGGTCAAATTCACTAAAATCCATATAATCATTCATAGTTTTTTAAAGCAGAGAAAAGAAAAGTGGTGTTTATTCTTCCCAAGTCCACCTAGACACATTTCAGAAAATAAATATAAAGGAAAAAACAGCCATCAAGAAGTGGGAGTGAAGCATGTAACGCTCTCTGCACACCAGAGGAAGAAGAAATCCTTTCCAGAATGTACAAAAGCTAGCTGTGAAAGAAAAATAAATTACATTTCAAATCCCTAAGGCTGGTGAAAGCGACAGATGAAGCCTAACTGGAGTTAAAGTAGTTTTAACTCCAATCACAAACAACTCTTTTGAAGCAGACTGATAACTTGCCCAATAACAGGTATCTGTTCTTTTTTAGAAACAGTACTTTTTTATAAATGTAAATGCTACATTTTATGAAATTTCCATGGCTCAATGTTTCAATTACTCATTAGAAACAGTTTTCCTGGTTTATATAATCAATAGGCATGTATGATCATTCTCAGTAGAAAACAATCTGCAGCACATGATGAACAGTTCATCAGAACTGGTACTTTCAGGCAGAGAGTACTGGATTATTATAATTTAATAATTCTGCAAAATAGTAAAAGTAACAGACTGAGGAAACCAATTTAACAGTTTGATGTAAAAATTTCCCTATTAGCCTGGCTGTCACTTGGTAAAATATGCAGATGTGAACATGAGTGAAGATATTAAAAGGAGGCCACAGTGATTAAAGTCCCAGTAACATAACAGGGAAAACACATTTCTGAAATCTCCATGTAGTTATGTACAGCATATAAAATGCAGTAGATTAATTTAATACTTCACCAATTGAACAACAACATCAAATAGAAAAGATTCCCTACAATATGCCTTATAAATATATTTCAAACACTTGAAGTTCATAAAAACTGAATATCAACAACTGGGAGAAAAATAACCTTTTCTGTTTAGTTTTTCCCCCCTGAATTTATTATATAAGAATGAGTAAATAAGTAAAATATATTCTACACTACAAGATAATGATCTATATAGATCAGGGGTCGGCAACCTTTCAGAAGTGGGGTATCAAGTCTTCATTTATTCACTGTAATTTAAGGTTTGGCGTGCCAGTAATACATGTTAACGTTTTTAGAAGGTCGCTCTCTGTAAGTCTATAATAGATAACTAAATTATACTTAGCCTGCTGCCGGCCTGGGGTTCCGTTCATCCAGGCTGGCAGCGGGCTGAGCAGGGCCGGCGGCTGGGACCCCGGCTGGCAGCAGAGTGCCACTAAAAATCGACTTGCGTGCCACCTTTGGCACGCGTGCTGCAGGTTGCCGACCCCTGATATAGATAGTTCTAGGCATGACCATATCTAAAAGCAAAAGCTAAATGTAACTCCTTAATTTATTACATACCCTATTTCTTATTGTTCCAACATCTAATCTGTATTTAATATGAAATGAAGCACTTGAGTAGTGAGAGAGATGCCAAGCATTATGCAATCCCAACAATCTGAATAGGGACAATCTTCACAATTTTGACCTCTCTACTATCGAGTTTCAATGCTCCTGAGCTGCACTTGATAACCTTGCTGTACACAGGAACACTCAGGCAGAGAACTGAAGGGTATGTAATAAAAAAATAAATCTGAGGCATGCAGTCATGCAATGGCAGGCAGATCTGATGCATTTTCTGTAGGCGATGAAAGGAGAAAACTACTGCATTAACTCAACTCTTTAGTTACTATGGATCTCTCTAAGGTACTATGAAAGGAATAGCATAAAACATGAATGAAGTAGCTCTATTAATGTTTAAACTTTTTTAAAACATCCAGAATCGGTGATTTTATACACACTTTCACTGATAAACAGTGAAACAGAAGCAAAGAATAATATGTGACTTGTGAACTTCCTCTTCTGTTACCATAGTCTATGATGACTAAGACCCTAGATCCAACAAATAAGGCAATGATTGGTAGGCAAACAAGTTAAGGCAGGAGGACACATCTCCAAGCTTTATATTAATGTTGTGAAACTAAAGTGTTAGGTAACGTGCAGGTGAGCCAAATAGAAGAATGTACTAAAGTTGGACTGTTAATGAGGTAACATAAGAGACAAAGGAGTGAGGTAATATCTTTTATTGGACCAACTTCTGTTGGTGAGAGAGACACGCTTTTGATCTTACACCAAGCTCTTCTTCAGGTAACACTGCATTTTAGAAACTGTTCTCCAGCAACAGTTATATCATTACACTCTTATTAAAATGTTTAGCTTTTGCAAACATGGGGAAATTTCAGTGTATTAACACTGGATGCATAACAGCTGGAAGGCAGTGCAAATGTGAATTCAATAGTATCAGAGTTCACAACAAAATCAAATCACTTTGCAGCGAAGATAGCCATGTTTTATGCTATTCAGATTAGCTCTACTAAATCTGTCTAATCTGAGTGAATCATGCTGACTCTATGTTCTAGGTTCTGCCACATAAACAGGCCATTTCGTGCAGGGTTCTTACCACTAACAAGGCACTATCATCAGTGTGCTGAGACCTTCTGGATGGAAAAGGACACTGAGGAGGTGGGAGAGATGGAGGAATGTCAGAAACATACAAACACAATGACATAATATACAAACTCACACAAACATTCTGGAATATGGTGAGTTTCTTTATGTTGATAGCATTTTGGGGCAGTTTTGCTATATGGTTTACAATGCAATATAGTATGTGTAACTAAACAATAGAAAATGTATTAATATGTAGTCACATGATCTGTGGTTAGAATGTGTTCGTACCAATTCAAGAACAAATTGTTTTATTTTCTGTTGCTGTTCTTTTTCTTACTGTGGAATTGCAAGAGAATCCTTAGAAAATATTACAAATCAGAAGACTATCAAGTAAGAAAGGAGGAAAAATCTATTTAAAACAGTCCAGTTTGCATAATTTTCACATGAAATAGTCAACTGGAAAATGCTTCTCAACTAATTTTCTGAGTACTGTAGTCATTAACGCTTCCGATGTGATTAATACTGCCAACTAAAATTATCTTTCAATAGGACAAAAAGCTATTTTATTACTCTACAGAAATCTGATGTGGAAAATGAACAAATGTCATTAGATCAGGTCAGCTTTTAAGCCATGATCTGTTTCAGCACAGTGTGAAACCATTAAAAATTTTTTTTCAAGTATAATTTAGTTATTAGAGTTTAGGTAATAAGAAGAGCAAAACCAAAGCTGGTATTGTTTATTGGTAACACAAAAAGTTCTGATGCTTCATTTTCAGGGGTAATTAGTAATTTAACAATAATGAATATGTGCAGAAAGGGAAGAGAGGACACTAGGACAGAAATGACTGCAACACAGTACAAGTGCTTATTTTAGTTCTCCTAATAGAAAGTTAATTAACCTAGCTGCACTGCTTCAAGAAGAATCTTAACTGTAACATGAAGTGTATTATATATAAACATGAAAAGCACCCAAAAGCAACACAACAAAACACACAGAGTACAGAGGAATCATACATGAAACGGAAGGAAAAATATGGCATGTTACTGCTATGATAAGCAACAAAAGAAGAATTGTCGTTCTTTAGCTCCTGCACAGTTTTCTTTAAACTAACCACTGAAGGTTACACCACAAGCAACAAAATGTTTCACCAGAGGGTACTAAAAATCAGGGATAAAGTCAGCACACACCTTAATACACTTTGCTGCTCTTACCTCACTATCCAGAGGACTTTGCTTCTGAGGACTCTGGGATGCCTTTTGCTGCAGAACAATCAAAGGAATGAGTTAATAGGAGTTAATAGGAAAGCATAAACTTGATTATAACAGGAATAAGAGAGCAGTATTTAGAGGTGTTTTAAAACACTGGAAGCCTTAATTTTAAATAAAATAGGCACTGAGGAACTTTCAAGTTTTCACTAAACTAAACTTAGTGAATATTCTCAGTCTAAAACTTCTATATCATTTTAAAAACATTTTAATATTCAAGTTATACAAAAAGCCCAAAACATTTCCCCTAACAGGAAGTACCTCGCTGAAAATATCTAACTGCTCATGAATAACAATGTTTTCATTCAGTTCTCTTTACGTCTAGCAACAATTATTCTATGAGAGTCAATTGTTTTGGGCACTTGTGTAAGACCTTTAAACAGTAGTAATGATGTGACATTGCTAACAATCATATATGTTACAATTCTGTAGAATTTTAGCACAAAAGCATGCATACGAAATACATCAAGTCTGAAAGGGAGAGGGGCTTGCGTCTTTAACAAAGACAGCTCTTCTCCCAAGTGTTGCAAAGAGTCCGAGCTAAATAGGTTTTAATAGAAACCAGAGTTTTGAACGGTCCACTAAAATCCCTTCCTTAAAGTGGCTTCATACATTTCAAAGACACAAAATGACAATCTTCTTCCCTTGCAAATCATCCTTAATCAAGTGTAACTGTAGCATTTTCTTTGTGATAGCTAGAGTTGAATGTGCTAATCACTGATAGAAAAAGCGATCTAAGGTGTGGAAATTGGTTAGACCACAGTCCCCTCTCATCTGTACAACCATCTCCTCATCTTCCAAATCTCTCCTCAAAGCCTACTTCTTTCTACAATTTCTCCAACAAGGCCAACCTTATCAAATCTAAATTAATGAGAAAAGTGATGAACATAATGCACCCTCTGTGAAAACAAGACATTTTGTAACTGTAAACCTCCCTCTCCCCATTTCCCTAATATCATCTCTCCCTGCATCAAGCTATAGTTATAACTTAGATTGGAAGTTTCCAGGAGCAGAGACTATTTCTTTGTTCTCTCTGTAAAACGTCATGCACACCTATGGCGTGATATACCAATGTTAAATAATAATTGGGACTCTGTGTCTGTCACGGAGGTCGCAGAAGTCACGGATTCCATGACCTCTGTGATTTCTGCAGCGGCCAGTGTGGCAGACCTCAGGGACAGCTGCTCAGTGGCGGATACAGCCGGCCCCGGAGCCCCCCTGAGCAGCGGGAGCAGCCACAGCTCGGTGGCCCCCAGCGGTGGTCCTGGGAGCGGCCGGAGCAGCAGCAGGGATGTGGCCTTGGGGGCAGCCAGAGCAGTCACTGCTCAGCGCCCTCCCCCCACCCCCTGAGCAGCGGCTCCCCCCCGCCCGCCCCCCCACCCGTCCCTTCCTCAGAGCAGGTATTTTTAATAAAGATTTAGTCACAGGTATTTTTAATAAAAGTCATGGACAGCTCACGGGCAATAAAAAAAAATTCACGGCCCCATGACCTGTCCATGACATTTATTAAAAATACCCATGACTAAATGGCAGCCTTAATAATAAGCCACATGATTCATTTTGTGGAGGACCCAGGAAAGGTACATATTAGACATCAAGTAAATCCTAAAATGACTTACTTTGACAAAGTCAAGCACAGCTTCCCTCTGGATCTGTTTCGTCCTCATCCTGTCCTCCTCATACTGAAGTGCTGCGAGCTGGGCCTCTCTCCGAGTGCGCTCCACTACGTGCTCTCGCCTTCGGTGAAGTTCAACATCTGTATGAGAGATCTGGAACAAAATAATTATCCATTGCATATCCAAATAAATGCATTAGGCTGCAAGATTGAAGACAGGTGCAAAGAGAGCGGTGGGGAGATTATGGAGACACAACACATGTTTTTGTGGATCAACTGGGTAAAAGCAAGTTAGTTTGTCATAAAAGAGAAACACACTCAAAAGAGTAAAGCAAGGTGTACAGTGTATTACCTGACTGTGGTTGTTGGACAGAGATAGAAGGTAAGATGAATCAGCTGGAGCTCTGATAAATAAAAAGACAGCCATACAAAGAATAAGTATAGTTTTCTCATTACATTTAATCATTCTTCACACATCAACAGTCAACAATGATAAGATATTCTAATCAACAATGGATAAATAACTATGTTTTGTAAATTAACACACAAGTTGTTAAATCCAACTGCAGCAATAATGATCTAATATCTAATAATTTCTTATTATATCACAGACAATGGACTATAGTTTGTGTCACATTTCCAGTGTAAAATCAAAGTCCTTTTACAGCTGAAAGTGTATTGACAATAGTCTGAAATTTGGCTTATCTCAGGACTATATTCAGAACTTAATAACCACTATCCGGGGTGAAAATGAGCCGGTACGGGCCGGTACTCCATACCGGTAAGAACCCGCACCGGCCCATACCCGGCTCACATTAAAGCGCGGCCACTGGCCCCTTTTGCCTCCCGTTGGGGGCCCTGCCGGTAGGGTCCATACCGGCAGGGCTGCCGACGGGGGGTGGGGAGGTGGGAGGAGCAACGTTAAGGATGGTCCTTTGCCGTGGCAGTGCTTTAATGTTGCTGCGCCCCCCTGCTGACGGGAGGGGAGGGGGGGCAGCAACGTTAAAGCACTGCTGCGGCAAAGGACCGTGCAGCGCTTTAACATCCCTGCCCCTTTTGCCCCCCCGGCCGCTGACGGGCGGGGGGGAGGGGCAAAGGGAGCACCTGCCCTGGGGCCGGCGATTTAAAAGGGCCCGGGGCTCTGGACGCCGCTGCCGCTACCGCAGCAGTGGCGTCCGGAGCTCCCGGCCCTTTAAATCAACACGGGAGCCCCAGGCAGTGCAGGCCAAGGGCTGGCTGGGGGATGCTGATCCCCAGCCCCGCCCCTTCTGCCTGAGGCCCCGCCCCTTCCGGGGGCCAGAGCCACCCCCCGTACCGGTAAGTGTCCTCAGTTACTTTCACCCCTGCCACTATCTGACAGCTTTCAGTAAGTTACTTATTTAACTGTCTCTAAGACCTTTTTAGTTTAACCCCATATCAAGAAGCAATTGATTATCAGGCCTATTATTGAAGAGATACTTGATTTTAAAACAGAAATCACATGCTTCTTTTCACTACCTCTCTGCCTTGTCTACATAACTCCTCTGTCCTTGGTGTCGCTCTCTGTCCTGCACCAAGCTTAGTGTTTCTGGTCTTCGTAATTCATCAGTATCCCAGAAAGTAAACACAGATTGGAGGTTGGTTATTGATGCGCAGAAATGGCAAACAAATGTAACTTTTTTTCTAATTATCAGCTGCTTATAAAAGTAAATGACTAAACAGTTAACTTCCGATAACATTCAAGACTAAATTTAAAGATGACCAAAGCAAGAAAGTTCAGATTTAAGGCTAGGCTAACAACTGTTGTAATATAAATATTAAAGCATTCTAGTAATATCACTATTGAGTACAACAATTTTAAAAGGTGCAAAAAGATGGAATTCCTGTTTTAACACTGAGTTCTTGGCTTTTGGAGTGCAGCTAACTCTGGGAAGAGCATTAGTTAAAAAAAAGTCAATGAAGAACTTCATTATTCTTTCTCACACTTTTAGAACAAATCTGCTTAGTTCATTGATTAAAATATTATTTTTCTAACAGCCAGTGTTGCAAACTCCATCTGAGTCCTTACTGTCTCGTATATGAACACCAGAAACAGATCTGTAAAGACCTTAGCTAATAATTTGTTTGCTTGTAAGTGAGGGAGAACAGAACATAACTTGAAATGAATCAGTTAAATTAAATGTCCAGTAACAGTGTCAGTAACAAAAGAAGGCATACGCAAAAGGCATCTGAGTTTTCGCTATGAATTGTTCTCTAGTTTAAAACATAAGGCAAAATATTTTTAAAAACAGGCACTTAAGTAATAGATGCAAGACATACCTCCTCAGGTACAAACAAAACTGAGCACAGAAAATATGCAGTTGCATGGGCAAAACAGGTAACTGCATTCAAATGGGTAACTGCACATGTTCCACAAGGATGTATTTTGTGTACACAATTTAAGATGCCTATGTTTAAAATTAAGCTCTATATGTCAGATGCTATACGTGATGCACCCATTACTGTGTTGACTGGCAGGAAGAACACTGGGTGAAGTGAGCAACAAAACCCAAACTCCATATGCAGATCTAAGTAGCACATAGCATTGCTGAATCAGGAACTTTTTACAGACTGCACGCTTGTGCAAGCTGTATTTAACTAGCTACTCTTAAGATGAAGTCTGAATTACGTCTAGCTTTACAAGGGCTTTAATGGCTCCAGTGTGCTTTGGAGAAGGAAAAAAAAAAAGTCTTCTTGCCAAGGCATTTACAGAAAATTGTTGTGGGAGCAGTTTACAACTGATGTGGTTGGCACAAGCAACATATTCCAGTACTATGAACTTCATAATACCAAAAAAAAAAAAAAAAAAAAAACACAAAAAAAAAAAAAAAAATTATTTTTCATGGTGATTTTTCCTTAATTTTGGAAGCAACAACAATATGGTCTGATTTTTTTAGTATTTCATTAAGAATTCTGTTTCACTGCAGTGTAATAAGAATGTGCTGTAATTTAGTTAGATGTTGGATTACAAGCCTCTGCTTAAAGATCGGCTGCCGCCCCTGAGTTAAACTTTGAAATCATCTGAACCCTATTGAACTATATAATTTCCTTTATTGTCATTGCAGACTGCCAAGATTTGTATACGTAAATAGAAGGTCTCTCCTGTCTAACTAGACTTGTCTTGTCCTATTTTCTTCAGCTGTGTCATGCAGTCCAATGTTTGTGAAGTCTCTTAAGTTATTTCCATGTAAAACACAAATCAAAAGGCAGGTAAAAAGAGTCTTTCAGACCAAGGCACTCATCATTTGTGGAGGAGATGGCAGGCTGCTCTATTATTTCAAAGTTTACTGGTGGACACTACAGGGTAAGGAATTCTGACACATGCTGAATCAGTTACCATCTATGATGTCAGTACAGCTACTGCACATGCACATTAACCGCATGAATCAAAATTCCTTAGAAAAATACATGAAGGATAGTTGCTTCCCATGTGACTAACAGCTTTTGAAAAATATATCTGTTGTTCTTAGTTTCAGTTTCCCTATAATAGCCAATTTAAGGGAATTGCCAATTTCATTTCAAAAATTTGCTTCTAGTTAGGGCATAAAGAGTGAAGTATCCAAAACCAGTGTGTGTCTTACTCTAATATAGCGCTTCTCAAATGCGGCCACCATGGCTGCATGCAGCCACCAGGGGCTTTTCTTGCGGCCACAGTCTCCTGGGTGAGGGGTTACCCTCCCCCAGGGCCGCCAGCAGGGGCTGGTCTCTGTCCCCTTCTGGAGCCACAAACACTGTAGGAGCAGGCGACCAGCATGAGTTCCCCACCTTCCTGGGGACGGTGGGGCTCAGGCTTCAGGCTTAAGCCCTGGGGTGGTGGGCAACAGGCTCTGGCCATACAGCAGCAGGCTCCAAACCGCAGCCGCAGGACTCCAGGCTCACCCCCCACACATCGCCCCTGGCCCCCGCTCCTCCTCCAGTCGCCATCTGTGCACCAGGGCCTCAGGCTCCCACCCTGGGCTCACCTCCCTCATCTCCCCTGACCCCCGCAGCCTCCCATCTATCCCCCCATTGCCCCTTGGCCCCCTACCCACTTCCCCATCCAGGGCTTAATTTGTCCCCCAGCTTGCCAGGGCAGAGTAAGTCTGCTGTGAAAAGTGATATTGCTAATATCACTTTTCACAGCCTCCCAGCTACCTGGCAAGTCTGTTATGAAAAATGATATTAACAAATATACAAATGTCACTTTTCACAGTAGCAGCCTTACTAGCTAGCAGGGCTAAAAAAAAAAAAAAAGCAATAAAAAAAAAGGAAAACATGCAAAGCACCTTATTTGTGTTTCTATTCTGTTTAGGTCCAGTAAAGAATAGAGAACTGTACATTATGTTGAATTATTGAGACTGCAAAAAAAACTACATAAATTATAAATAATTTGGACACATGTATGTGCATATTTATTTGTTTTTCCTAAAGTTAATTAAGTATTTTAGGAAAAACAGTCAGAGCGGTCACCAGCAAAAGTTGGTGGCCACACTCTGAGGCCACCCAAAAATTTCCTGCGAGACCCCCTGCTCTAATATTACTATATACAGCCAAAACTATTTTTATCCTGCAAGTCAAAATAACAAAAAACAAAACAAACAACTTTCTGCTCAGTCCCTGCGTATCCAGTTTTAACCAAAAGCAAAAACCGCTCAGTGACCTATCAAAACTGACAGAACCTTAACTTCAACTGCATCAAAGAGGCACTATAAATACACTGAATTGCATCTCCTCTCCTTCTGCTCTTGTCTCTGGGCATCCTTCCATTTGACTCCCTAAACCTGAAATACTCTTCTGTATCCTGCCCACCATGTTACCATCCTCGCCAACTCTCAGCTTAACACACAATTCTTCCACAACAAGGATGAACCTTACTATTCCAAAAGTGACTATCCTAAAAATTCTGTGTAACCCTCAAGAAGCTTGTGTCATTAATTCATTCCAAACAAATATATGATTTTATTGCTGTAATCCTTGCTCTCCTTTCCTTCTAATCTCCCTTCCTCCATGGCATTTGAGGTTTTGTCTATACTAGCAAAGTGCACTTGTTTAATTTAAAAACTGATCTAACTAAACCAGTGCAAACTCCTCATATAGATTCACTTAAACCATTTTAATCCTTGCTTATATTGATTTAGCTTAAATTCAGAATTTATATAGATTTAGCTTGCATTGATAAATTGCCAACTTAAGCTAAAAATTGATATTAGCATAAGTTAAACCAGTTTAAATGTATTGGAATTTAAGTAGATAGATTTTTAAGTCACTTTAGTTAACCCTGTGAACTTTTGTACTATAGGCAATGTTTTTGTCACCTTACCGCATCATTCCTCATTTTACCTAGACTGTAAGTTCCTGGGACAGGAACAATAGCCCGTTTGTAAAGTGTTGCACATTTCTGACTAGGTAGTAGAAAACTACATCCACTGTTCAGTGTCACTCAATGCAATCTGCACTGTAACTTTCAGCTACAATTTCCCCCAATCTACAGTATTTTAGCAAGCGAAATGTATGCTCTTCTGCCAATTTGGCCTAGTTATGAAAAGAACAGAAATGTTTATGGAGGTATAAATATCAGCCATAACATCACAGTGAAATCAAGTGTTGGTTTCAAATGATCATGTAGATCGTATATTTTTCAGAGTAGGGCACCTATCGAACACATCTATAAAGCACCATGTATGCCACTGGCACTATCATGAATAAATGTACTTTCATCAGGTTCTTCTACCTATTTTGATGCAAGTATCGTCTTGTGTCGTCTGTTCTCTGAAAATCTCTGATGGGTACTGGCTTTACTGGTGAGCCCTAAGCAAACAAAACAGAAGACAATGAAGTTAGTAATGTATTCAGAATGCTGTATGTGCAAGTCTAAGAATTTTGATTAAACCAAACCAAGTGTAGGTTCCATCAATTTGTCTAGATCCAAATGTGTGATTACTGGTCGTTAAGATGTCTGACAAAGAAACAAAATAAAACACAACCAACGGAAGATATCGGAAATGATGCAGAATCATTTTTGTACCTTGCATGTAATTTACTGAAAGTTGAACTTCAAAATTAAGCATACCTGTTGATAAGTTATAGTGTAAGAAACAGAATTACCAGGCTATGTGGATGAGGTGTAAGTATAAAATAACTAATGTAACTTATAAGATGTATGGTGTTGGAGACCAAAGTACACAACTACAGTTTTAGCATAATGTATTCCAGGCTCTCTCAGACAATAAGATTCAACAGCTGGTGTTCTGTGATGATACCATATAGACAAACCAGAGAAACAGGCACTTGCAGAATCAATATATTGTCAATGGAAATCTGGGTCACTGCAGATTTCACTGATGTAAGTAGGGGAATGACAAAGTGCACAAAATAAGGACATGATTTAGACTCCTAAAGAGATTCTGACAAAATAAAATAAAGGAAATTAAGAAAGATCTTTACCTCCTCAAAGCATTAAACGAACTTATGAAGGAATAGATACATTTTAATTTGAGCACAATGTGTATTGCTTAAGTGCTTGAAGCAAAGTAGAAGATTATCTGAAACAGGTTGCTTATGCACTATGTAAGATTACTTCTGTGCTGAGATCCCTTTACACCTACACGCAGGGGATGAATTTAGATTAACATGGCATAGAGAAGGCAATGTCACATTGCTTAATGCTTCCTGCATTTAATTTTTGTTTTATGCAGAAACTTTACAATTTTCCACTTCCTTGTGTCCAGACTGTCACAGCAAGGATCAGTTTCTCTTGCCTTATGTATAACAGTAGCGACGATAACCAAAGCAAAGATGTTTTCCAGTTGCAGGGAGTCGTACAGTTTTAAAGAAACAATAATGGAATTTTGGTCAAGGGCATGCTAATCTATATTCGGTCACAAGGTACACCTTTACCCCGATATAACGCTGTCCTCGGGAGCCAAAAAAATCTTACTGCGTTATAGGTGAAACCGCGTTATATCGAACTTGGTTTGATCCGCCGGAGCACGCAGCCCCGCCCCGCCCGGAGCGCTGCTTTACCACGTTATATCCGAATTCGTGTTATATCGGGTCACGTTATATCGGGGTAGAGGTGTACTAAAATTAAACAAGGACTCAAGACAATTGCATTGTAACTGTGTAGGAGTGATCATGCCTCCCCCAATGCTATCATTTGGAACCAGAACAAGAGCAGTAAACGCAGTAATTAGTCATAAACGTTACTACAAAATATGTAGCAAATTACGGGAAAGCAAATAAGAACCACTTTGACCCATTCTGGGGAAATGGGAGCTTGTTGTCTGACCCACAATGCAACTTGAAATGCTACTGCTGGAACAGTGATAGCACTCAGATTTCTAGTGTGCCATTCCAGCTCAAATACCACAGACTACCTTTAAAACAGCAGGCTCCTCGAGGAGAGAAACAAAAAGTACATTGTTCAGGTTTGTCTGCAATAATAAGGACAAAGACCACGGTTTCTAAGACCAATAAAAGCTATAGCCTAAGGATGCTTATACTTGTTTTTAGCCACTTGTAATCAAGTCTCCTGATGAGTTTTTAACAAACTTTAAATAACCCTATTTATTGCCCATTTACTGTATCCCGGGATTGACTCATAAAAATATCGTGTCACACAGTTAAACACAGAATATTCGCTCAAAACTTTGCGCATATGCGTTCCCAGGTTGCATGCCTGGTGATTTTACAGAGCATTACTCAAGATGTTAACATGGAGCAAGCCATCCTCTGTTACAAAATATCAGACTTTAGAGCAAATCCTTTTTTTCATTTAAAATTCGCAATTAAAAGGGATGCCCAGTGTGGTAGATTTATTGGCATTTAATTTACGATCCATAGGAAAGCCCCACCAAATTAACCTAGCTGAAAGATCCCTATAATAGACTCATAGACTCATAGACTCATAGACTTTAAGGTCAGAAGGGACCAATATGGTCATCTAGTCTGACCCCCCGCATGATGCAGGCCACACAAGCTGACCCCCCCACTTTCCCTTAGCTCTGCTGTTGAAGTCTCCAGATCGTGATCTAAAGACTTCAAGTCGCAGAGAATCTTCCAGCTTGCGACCCCTGCCCTATGCTGCGGAGGAAGGCGAAAAACCTCCAGGGCCACTGCCAATCTACCCTGGAGGAAAATTCCTTCCCGACCCCAAATATGGCGATCAGCAGAACCCCGAGCATACAGGCAAGATTCTCTAGCCAGACCCTCATTTTACCAGCGATGGCCGTTATTGCCTAATTGATTAGAATCACGTAATCCCATCAAACCATTCCCTCCATAAACTTATCTAGCCTAATCTTGAAGCCAGAGAGGTCTTTCGCCGCCACCGTTTCCCTCGGAAGGCTGTTCCAAAATTTCACCCCTCTGACAGTTAGAAACCTTCGTCTAATTTCAAGCCTAAATTTCCCCACGGCCAGTTTATATCCATTCGTTCTCGTGTCCACATTAGCACTGAGCTGAAATAATTCCTCCCCCTCCCTGGTATTTATCCCTTTGATATATTTGAAGAGAGCAATCATATCCCCCCTCAGCCTTCTTTTGGTTAGGCTAAACAAACCAAGCTCCTCGAGTCTCCTTTCATGCCTCAATAAGTCCTTGTGCTGACAGAGAGCAACACATTAGCTATGTTTTGACCTCAAACAAGCCAGCATTTACTAGGTATTACCAAATGAAGGAGACATGAGTGGTTGCCTGGGTGCAAGCACATATGGGAAGCATCAACTTCAATGTTTTCTGAGGGAAGGGTTCCTTTGGGAACCCCATTTACTCCCCCCACATCCTGCAGGAATTTTGCCTTTGAACAGAACTCAGTACAGCTGCCCGTAGAATCATTCTGAGTGTCTGATACAGGTGTAGTTTGTAGCAGCTCAGGACTCAAACTCAGATACTCCACAAGGCAAAGCTTGTTGCTCCAAGCCAGCTGTCACATTGTTTATCAAGGTCAACCTCTACAGACAAGAAATATTAACACCATCACAAAGGCTTTCATTGGGGTATATGAACGTAACTAATTTAAATAAAAGCACCACCTCATGAGAGATTCGCCGTTGTTCAATATATGCCATGAATTGTGAGCTGAGGCTCTCTGACTCCATGCACTTGGGTTGCCTCACCTCTTCCTCTTCCTCTTCCGTGGCACAGCTATCAATATAGTCAATCTGATCCAGATCATGTTCCACTAGACACACATGCACAAAGGAAACACCCATAATTAGATGACCAGTGGTAGAAAAAACATAGCAGCAGTCTCAGCAACGAATGTCTGATTTCACTTTTCCTCCATCTGGGAAAGCTTAAGCTGACATCTTTTGAGTTCTGCCTGGTTCACTAATAGTTGTTAAATGTCAGATTTTGAAATAATCTTAAACAGATTTAAAAGCAATGAGAAAAAAATATGCCAAATGTAATAATTTTAAAACTACGATTATATGTAGTTTCTTAATTATTGCAAAAGCAATGTCATCCTTCCCAATTCATTGTTAACAAAGGCCATTGGCTACAATTTTTACTTCCGTATCTTGGACATATCTGAGAAGCAAGCAATTACCATCAATTTACAACAAAACAAACATATCATTAGGAGTATACTGGTTAATTTATCTAGGCTCTACTTAGCTGGATACTTCCTCACTAATAAAGGCACTGAGGAGAGCCTAGGTTAACACTTGCGCAGTATGAAATGTCAGGCTCTAGACAGTGTCTGATGACGATAAAACAGAGAATAGTGTGACCAAGTTAATTGCATGAGGTTGCTTTAAATATGAAAAAGGTATGTGGCAAAGAAACAGACAATAAAGAAAGCAACACAAAAACACTCAGGTTACAGACATTTTATTAACCAAAGAAGAAGGAAGGAATTAAAATTAGGGAACCACAGAAATTAAATGAGAATAAAGCACAGGGCACAAATCTGCTCTCATTTCTGCCCATGGCCATGTTGCTATCTGGGGCATTTTTTATTCATCACTGCTTTGGTAAGTTTCTGCACAGGGATTTCAAGTGTCATGACATTAAACAAAAAGCCTAGTGAAAAGCACTGTGCCGACATATCGGATATCCAGAGTCAAAAATACCCCGAGGACTCCCATCCCCCTTTCCCCCCGCCCCAGTAGGTCTTCATTTGCCACATTTCATCATCTCTTATCAGAAAGCTCATGTTAGCACTGATGAAGACATGGGGAAAGAGAGGTCATTAGGAGGGGGTCTAGATGCAGGTGTTTTGAAAGGGATATCACTCAGGATGAAATGGCAGGCACAAGTTCAACTCAGATTACCTACTTCAAACATTATTGCTTCCTTGTTTTTAAAATCCTGCAAAAACTTGCTCCTGCCTTTCCCCCAGATATTATCACTCTCTATTCCCCATTCCTCCTTGTCTAGAGCAGGCCTCCTTTGCCTCACCACACAATCTGGCTACTGTAAGTGCCAGAACCATCTCCTCTGAAACTCCAACCATCCAAAACAGCTTCCCTGGATCTTTCTGCCTCATTGAATCTCCACCTCATTAAAAATCTTAAGTGAAAACCTCTTTTCTCCCTTAGCTATTTAACTCTAATTTATCTCACTCTCCATTATATTATTTAACAGCTGTGTTAACTCTAAAGCATTGTGAAAGACCATGTGTGTGAAAAACCAATTAACAATAAGTTGATATTGTAGGCAGTGCTGGTAGCACTGTTTGGTACAAAGGCTGCTAGGCACTTCCTATATAAGATAACTTTGCCAAACTGTCTGTACTGAAATGTTTCATGCTGGATGTCTACTTCAGGGGGGAAAAAATTAATTTTCAGACAGAATGGCTCAGCTGTTTATGAGAATGAGGATAGGGAAAAATATATTGCAGCAGAAGGAGGAGATTAGAACAAGGGGCTGGTGGGGAGAGGGAAGAGACTGAGACAAGTGGATGGGGAGAAAGAAGAAACAGGGACTGGGGAACTGGGGTGGGAAGATTGGGACTGGGAGAAGACTGAGATCAGATGAGGAGCTGGGGGGGGGGGTGAGGGGGAGAAGACTGGGACTGAGAACCAATGGGGGCGGGAAGGGGGAAGAGACATCTGATGTGGAGCCAGGGTGGTGGTGGAGAACTGCGAATGACTGAGAGAAGAGACTGGGACAAGAAACTGGGGGAAACACAGAATGGAAGAGGAGTCTGAGGAGGGAGAATGAACTGGGGAATGTGGGTGGGGAGATATTACTGGAGGCCAAGATTGAGGAGAGAGAGAAATCCGAGAAGAGAAAAGGAGCCCAGGATTACCAAGTCTGAGGTGTGGCAACTGACTGAGTAGACAAAGAGAATAGAACTGGCATAAGAAGCCGGGGTGGAGAAGAGACAGGTCTGTGATAGGCACGGGTTGGAGGGGAGAGGGCAGAAGGAGTCATACTGGGGGAGGAGGGGCCAGTGAGACACAGAAGGCTCTGTGCCCACTAGAGAACACTCTCCTCCAAAGCCTGGAATAGAACCCAAGATTCTTGAGTCTCACCATTCCTCTATTGTCAGAAAATAGCTGTGAAAACCACCAACAAAGTGTCCCATCCCCCTCTAGTGCTGGTCCTCACAGAGGATGACAACCTCCTACAGTTATCAGTTACTCTGTCAGCTCAAGTGGCAGAGATCTGTGCACCAGATCTGAAGGTTCCAATCCTGCTGATGACTCATGAGAGTGTCAATATCGTGCAAAAAGCAGTATGTGATCATGTAATTAAAGATGGTATCATAATGCATATGCAGAAAGGGGCTGAATTAAGGTTGCACAAGCAACCTTACCTTCTGGTCTTTTTTAACTTTTCAGTGCTTGATTTTGCAACCCTAATAATGTTCTTTAAATGTAATTTGTGTGTGTGATTATAAATATATTGAGCCTCCACCACTTCTTTTGCTTAAAACAACAAATTACCTATACCTTCCAAATATACATTTTGGAGCTTCAGTTATGACAACCACCTGAATAATTAGCTATCAAAGACTGCTATTTACCTCCACCATTAGTTACAACCGTGCTCCCTCGGTTCTCCTGGTACTCTCTCTCTCTTCGCAGTCTCTGCTCTTTAGTGATCTCTGCCACTCGCAGAGGGAGGTCTGAGAACTCATCTGTAGGCTTTACAAAACAGACAAAAAAAACCACACACTCTCATCCGGGGCATCATCTTTCAGTTAGTTTTCTAACTTGGGCCTCCACTCCACCAGTCCTGCTGGATTTTGCTCCCTAAAACTATTAATTTAAGAGAGACACAACTGAAATGTACCGTTTTTAAATCAGGTCGATTTAGGACCTCTCTTCCATGAAGAGTCTGTCTATAGTTTTAATTTATTTTCCCTCTGAAATGAATACATATGCTAAAAACATTCCAGGCTGGATTCTGAAGGCCCTTGTAAATACCAGGCTAGCTTCCCCAACAGGACAGAACAGGCTGGCTCCTGGCTTTCTCCCAGGACCCTTCTTCCTTGGAGATCTGATCTTGCTTCTTCTAAATGGTTAAGAGACAATCTATTTGACCATTTGAAAAAGCTACATATAAAATCTTATTTGGAAAATCTGTGTTAATTTTAAATCTCTCTGTTTACCTGATTTTATTTTAATTAAACAGAAGCTCTTGAGTAATGGATAAAGATTATATATGCTAATATAATGCAATAACTAGCTCATCTTTTTGTAATTTTTCTTAGCACTTGTTTATATTAATTCATTTCTACCAAGTGCTCTTCTATATTTTTTAAAATGTTTCAATAAAAAATATTAGTAAAAGAACAAAAGATCCATTTAATATAAAAATGGTACTAATTCTTTTTCCAGGAAATCAAAAGTAATCTGTGAACTATGGAAATTACATTTTTTATTATACATAAGCACCACTCCCTGAATATTCTTTCAAATCTATACCTTCATTATTTGTTTCCTGTACAAATATTGCCACCCAACAAAAATAAAGAAACTACACTTACTTCATTCCCTGACCATCTTTTGTCTCCGCTGTCCACACTATTGAAACCAGAATCTAGTGCTCCATAGGGACGACTGGAGTACAGTTCCTCATGGCTGTCAAGCAGATAATTTTAGTCACTATAATGTAAATGTCACTGAAAAATTCCTACTTGTGACAGAGCTGAAAATGGAGTTAACTGTTGAGCAGAGCTGAGCAGTGTCCACAACACATTAGAAGTTGTCACATGGCATTCAACATGCATAATACTTTCTAAGAGGATATGTTCTTCCAACTACAAACATTCCCAACTGTTAGCCAACTGACATGATGCAGCTGCCTTGTGCTTTCAAGAACTGATCTAAGCCTATCCCCCAAACAATTCTGACAAATGTATTTTTTTTTTTGGCACACTGACCTACTAAATTCTCCTTTAGCAAGTCAGTTCATTTTATGTTACTCGGGTGTTTTAGTTGAACGACTCTTCCCAACCCCATCCCCAAAACCATTTTGTCCCAGAGGGAATCACAACCATACATGTGTATTTATTACACATACATATAAATGTATAGGAATGAGCATGCACCTCTTTTAGAAGAAGTATGACAACATTCAAAATGTATACTTTATACATCTCTTTTCTGTATCATGCATTATTAATCTAAAATACTCCATAAAAGACACCACAGATGTTTCAAATGAAATATATCATCACTTGAATGATATACAAATGTAGTTTTCACTCATTAAATTGACTTGTCAATGACTTGCCTAGTCACAGACATTACATATGTGCAATGAAGGGATGAAAATATGAACCATAACATAAGGGGCTGTATGGTGCTTTTCCTGCTCTAAGTGGGTACAGAGACTACACAGTTCAGCAGCGTGGCCATCACAGATGTCGAATCTGGCAACTGCTACAGATAGCGACAGCAGCAATATAACAATGGGACTTGTCTGATCCACTGCAGATGGCATTTCACAATGGATCAACTGTCCTGCTGGCACTTGATGCCCCAGGGAAACAGCAATTACTGCATAATTCACAAGTAAGAATGTCAGGAAGCTGATTGCTCCACCCAAGCATAGCTAATTGTAGGTCATTCTCTCACTGGTACTGATCTCTAGTTGTCCCTCTGTTTAAAAATCCCTCATCCAGGAAACAATTATTTTAAAATGACTGTTATTACTATTATTTATGCAGCACCAGAGAGTTATGGTGCTTTATAGAAAAACGTGACAGACTACAGTCCTAAGGAGTTTGCAGTCCTAGTTAGACACAGGGGGTATGTCTACACTGCAATCAGACACCCGTGGCTGGCCCAGGCTCCTGGAACTCAGGCTAAGAGGCTGTTTAATTGTGGCGGACATTCAGGCTCAGGCTGATGCCCTAGCTCTGGGACCCTCCCACCTCGCAGGGTCCTAGAGCCCGGGCTGCAGCCCGAACCCAAACGCCTATACTGCAATTGAACAGCCCCTTAGCCTGAGCCAGCTGGCACAGGCCAGTCATGGGTTTTTAATTGCTGTGTAGACATACCCAAGGAGAGGTTACTCAGAATGTGCCATAATGGTGGTTCTTTGAGATGTGGGTGCTGCACTTCAAGTATGCTTATACCACTTGTGCCTTTGATGGGAGATTTTTGGTAGCAGTGCCCATTCAGCCCATGCATGCAATTCTATGCTTCCTTATGCCCTGCTCTGAGGATACATAAGGCTACATGGGTGAACTGCCCTCAGTTCCTTCTCCACTGCCAAGTCCCCAGAGGAAACTCTGAAGCAGAGGGGAACGAAGGCAAGTAATGGAACACCTATACGGACACACACAGTGAAGAACTCCAGTTACTGCACAAGGCAAGTAACCTCTTCTTCCTCGAGTAGTGTCCCTCTGGGTGCTCCACTTCAGGTGACTACCAAGCAGTACCCCCCAGCTGGAGGGGGGGTCTCTGGAACCAAGTCCAAGATTGAATACAATACAGCATTTCCAAGGGCAGCATCTGATCTAGAAGACTGGACCACTGCATAATGCTTGGAAAAGGTACGTATGGAAGACCAAGTGGCAGCCTTACAAATATCCAGAACAGAAACATTCTTGAGTAATGCCGTAGAAGTAGCTACAGCTTTTATGGAATGGGCCAACAACCTTGAAAGAGCTGAATATATGAAGTTATAGCACAAAAGAACAGAATCAGAAATCCACCGAGAGTCTCTAGGTGGAAATCGCTGAATCTTGGGATCTATCAGCAATAGTCACAAAGAGTCTGTGTGACTTCCTAAACGACTTAGTCCTTTCCAGATAAAAGGCTAATGCCCTTCTAACATCCAGAGTGTAAAAAAGGCCTCCGCTCTGGACTGATGAGTCTTTGGCGGGGGGAAATGGAGGGTGGATAATCTGGTTGATGTGCAGCTCATATGACACCTTAGGTAAAAATCTTCTGAGATAAATTAATGAGGGAAGAGGTAGCCATTGGCTCAAACGGGGGGCATAGGGCATCAAAGTACTGCATTCAAATCCCAGATAGGAATGGGTTTCTTAACTTGGGGGAAAGAGTTTCCCAATCCTCTCAGAATCTTACAGTTGTAGGATGGGTGAAGAGTGAGAATCCCTCAACTGCTGAATGAAAGGCTGTTACAGCTGCCAAGTGCACACTGAGGCCTGGTCTACACTGGGCGGGGGGAGGGGAGACTAAGTCAGTCTAAGTTACGCAACTTCAGCTAAGAAAATAGCGTAGCTGAAGTTGATGTACTTAGAGCTACTTACTGTGGTGTCTTCACTGTGGTAGGTCAACTGCTGCTGCTCCCCCGTCGACTCCGCCTACGCATCTCGCTCTGGTGGAGTACCAGAGTCGACGGGAGAGTGCTTGGCGGTCCATTTATCGCATCTTCACTAGACACGATAAATCGACCCCCGGTGGATCGAACGCTCTGCCCTAAGTATAGACATGCCCTGATAGAGCTCATATATAATCCTAACTTTTTCAGCACTAGGAGGTAATCAAGGATGATCAAGGGGGAAGAATGAACAGGTGAAACACTTCTGGACACACCACATGTAGGACTCATGAATGAAATTGTTTTTAGTTATCCTGTACCATTGTAACTTCTGTTCACCATTTCATTACACTTGCCATTTTGCCTACATTGTAACTTTCATTATACTTGCCATTTTGCCTACATTGTAACTTCTGTGCCATATTGTAATTCAAACCCCATTTTAAAACGCTTACTCCATTTTGTAAGGACTTGCTGCAACCTTCATTGTTGCAAACCCTGCTGTAATTTTAATGGTCTAGTTGAGATGTGTGAATGAGGGATGCATGGGTGATAGAATCAACCTCCAGCACCAGCCCGTCCTGATGAGATAAAGTTCAAATACCAACGGCTGAAGAACTAGACAACAGCCCTAACTCAAGCAAGAAGCATCCACCCTAAAAAGAAACAACAGAAGGAAGATCAAAGCCAGGTCCCAGGCTGACAGTCACGCCTGCAATTGACGGGTGATCAAGCACCAAACCCAGAGGCGGCCTGACACAGCGAGACCTAGGAACTTTGAATCCAAACTAAACTCCTATAAAAAAGGAAGGGTGAGATGAGAGACTTTGGGTAACGTTCTGCTATCAACATCAAGGAGCATCGGTGCGCGCCCGACAGAGACCCGGCTCCTCCTCGTGCTCAGCTTTCCTGGCCAGTTAGCTGTCACGAGCTACGATCCCAAGCTGCGAACTCAAACTACAACCAGGACTGGTAACTATCCAGCAGCTGCAGAACATTTTGGTGTGTGTGTGTGTGTGTGTGTGTGAGTGTATGTGTGTAAGCATTAAGGTATTTGCTAATAGTTACAGATTAATAATAAATGTGGCATCTTTGCCTTGACCCCTAAAACGATCCTGTATAAGTTTGTGGGACAACACACATGCTGAATCTTTTCCACTTGTGGAGGTAATTGTATTCCGTGGAATCTTTCCTACTGTTCAACAATACCTGTTGCACTTCCCAGTTCATCACAGATGCATCCATCGTTATGATGATAGAGGGAGGAGACTGAACAAATGGAATCCCCATGCAGACATTGTCTAGGACCCTCCATCATTTGAGTGGAGACTAAGACCTGGCGAGGAACCGACATTAACTTGTTCAAGTTGTATTTGTTTGGAGTATAAACAATCCTGAGCCAGCTCTGGAAACATTGTGATGGTATGTGCCAGACTCCATCTTTGAAGGTGCACGCTGCTATATGTCCAAGTAATTGAAGACAACTTCTTATTGATGTCTGTAGGCTGATTTGAATGTTTGAGACAAGATTTGCTAACATCGAGAATCTGTTGGAGAGGAAGATAAGCCCTGGCTGGTGTAGCGTCCAAGGAGGCGCCTATGAAATCTATTCTTTGTATGGGGCTCAAAGGGGATTTCTCGGATGTTGAGCTTAACCCTAGTTTGCGGAACAGGGATCTCATTGTCTTTATGGCATCAAAAACCTCATTGTAGGACCAGCTCATAACCAGCCAGTCATCGAGGTATTGACAGGAAGCCCTCAACATGACTACTGCTGTAGAGCGGCAGTGTTGGCTGGGTCCAATAAGTCCTTTAGCTTTATTTTAGTTAACAGCTGACGCTCGTTAATAATAGCCTGAAACTGGTCATGCTCATCAGCCAAGCTCAGTAAAGGTTGTGAATTTGCTATAACTTGAATGATTGTATTTAGCCATGAGAGCTTGATAGTGTGTGATGCTAAATTGAAGAGTCACAGATGAGTAGGTCTTTCTGCCGAATAGATCAAGGTGTTTTTGGTCCTTATCATACAGTGTGGTCTTTGCACGATGTTGTTTGCCATGTTTTTTCACTGCCTCCACAACCAGGGAGTTCAGTGTTGGATGGGTGAACAGAAATTCGGAGTCTCTAGCTGGGACATAATATTTTTATAGGCCCTTTTACAAACTAGTGGAATCGTTGCAGGGATCTGACAGATGGATTTGGCAGGATTCAGAGCCTCATTAATAGGCAGGACAACTCAGGTGCAGGGAATCCATTGGAGGATGTCCAGGAGCTTATGTTATGACTCTGTGACCTCTTCCAAGGGATCTGGAGGGAATCTAAAATGTGCTTCATTAACTCTTGG